CATCTTGGCAAGCTTTGCTGGTGGAAGATGCCATTTCCTTTAAACATACTGTTAAGTGTTGCCCCCTCTCTCCCAAGTCCTGCTCTGCTGCCTCATTGTGGCAGGAGTGTATTCCTGGGAGTTAAGAGTGAAGAACATCAGGAGGGTATGCCCAGAGAATATATTCTTGGCAAGACCACCCCAAGTGTGAAGATCATTCCAGTGTCCACATAAAGCAAGCAGGCACCTATAGTGAGCAACAGTGATATAGGAAAATGTTGGAAGCAGATTATCACTTTAGTGTCAGTGGTGAGGGTATCAATTCATTCTGTGTAAGAGAAGGCAATGATAAACCACTTCTCTATTTTGACCAAGAAATCTGCATGGATAGAAAACATAAAAGGATGATATAGTGCTAGATGACGGGCCCCTCATGTTGGGTGGCACTGAACATGCTACTGAGGAAGAGCTGAGGATCTTTTGAAATACTCATGATGTATGATGTAGCTAGATTTGGGGTGTTTACTTGCTGATATTGCCATATAGGAAAAGAAATCTGAATTGTAAAGACATAATTAGTGTAAGATCACGGAACAAAAGCAGGATAAATGTGGAAAAACTCAATACAATGAAAGATGAAACGAAATGATTACAAACCAGCATCTTAGGCATCAGCAAATCAAGATGGACTGGATTGGATATTTTCAGTCAGAAATTTACACTGTTTCATTACTCGGGAGATGAAAATCAAATTTAAACAAAATATTCAAATGCTATGATGGGTTTATACCTATGAAAATCAGAATTGTAAAAGACATGGTATGCCCTGTGATACTATACAGAAGCTAGAGTTGGACTTTGAAGAAACAAAATAGAAAGAGTATTGATAATTTGGTGTTGCAGAAGACTCTTGACAATTCAATAGACAGTCAAAAACCCCACACAAACAAATGGATAACTGAACATATCAATCCAGTGTTCTCACTTGAGGCACAAATGAGTAGGGTCAAATTATACTATTATCCAATTTTAGACACTTTATGACTCCCATCTATAGATGGGAATGTAATCCTGAGAAAGGTGGAAGGAAAGAGGACAGTCCACAGCAAGGTGTATGGATTCAGTTACACTGGTGATTGGGACTCTATTGGAAGAGTTGAAGGACCAAGATAGGGATAGATCATCATGGAGAAAATTTATGTATGTAGTTATTAGCAGTCGACAATGACTTATGGCACATAATCAATCAAGTGGTAGGACTTGTCTGTGCATAAATTTAGCCACTAAATTTGTATTAATCATTGTGGTCTGCTTCAGGGTTCAATCGCACACAAACATGGTTGCTATGGAGATTAGCAATTTTACTTCAAGGCTGAAAAGACAACAGCAAATACATGTAAACAAAACAGAAGTGTGCCTGAAGAGTTTGACTTTAATAGGAGCATACAGGAAAAATGGTCCAAATCCACTGCAGGATTCCAAGATCCAGATTAGGTTCGTCAGCCAGTCCAGGTTCAAGGTTTCCTAAATAAACAGAATTCACTTGGAACATCATGCAAGAGCCAGAGATCAGATGTTGTTTCCAGCAAAGGGAACATGGATCAGAGCTGTTTTTTAAAATCAGATTGCAGTCAGCTGTCATCGATCAATAGATTTGTTCCCTTGCTGGGCAAGAAGCCTCACTGAATGACTGTTTTGTTCTCTTTTCACCAGGTGGGGGGGGGGGCTGCAAGGCTTTATATCATTCTCATCTGACTGAGCAAGATTTCCAAGTGGTACCTGTGTTTTCTATCATGCGATTCTTGGCCTGGCGTCTCCTGAGGCTGACATTCCAGAGGTTTAGTTGGAGCAGTTTCTTCAGATTCAGTATCTGTCTCCTGAGCCTGGGTCATGACACACTGGTTATTTCCAGCACTTTGAATAATAGCCTTTAAACTACTGTTTTATCATTTGTGTGGCATGATATAGGACACTTTTATTATTGAGGGATTCATAATATGGCCACTTCCAGACTGAATTGATCGTATGTAGCTGGTGCACAGGGGTAAATAGATTGCTCGGGAAAAATAATTCAAGAAGCTGTGTTGTTTGGACATGGTCATTGTCTTAATTTAGAAGCCAATTCAAGGCGGTATCAGTTCCTGTTCTCCTCTCACTTTGTGGCAAGCAGCTAGCTACAGTAGTCTTTAAGACTTTAAGACCACAATTGAGCCCAAATTTTCTATTGCTAAGCAAGATATTTTTAAGTGAGTTTTGCCCCATTTTATGACTTGCTTGCCTCCATTGTTAACTGAATCACTGCAGTTGTTAGGTAACATGATTGTTAAGTGAATCTGGCTTTCCCATTGATTTTGCTTGTCAGAAGGTTGCAAAAGATGATCCCAGGATGCTGCAACCATCATAAATATGAAGCAGCTGCCAACCATCCAAATTTTGATCGCGTGACCACAGGGATGCTACACCAGTCGTAAGTCTGAAAAGTGGTCTTAAGTTATTTTTTTTTCAGTGCCATTGTCACTTCAGTCATAAATGAATGGTTGTATGTCAAGGAGGAATGAATGCTTCACCATCACCCAGTATATTTCTTCAAAGATTTGATATTCTTCATCTTGCTGTCAGTCGTTGGAAATAATTGTAACTACTTTAGATAATAATTAAACTATAGTCTGGTATAAAAGTGAGATGATTACACTTCAAACTATTCCCACTACTAATATTAAAGAGAGTGTAGTTTGGTGTAGTGGTTAAGGCAGTGATGACGAACCTTTTAGAGACCGAGTGCCCAAAAACTGGCCTTGCTCCGTTCCACCACCCTGCCCCGCCCCCGTTCTGCCCTCCATACCCCCCCTGCCTGCCCACAGGACCACTCACCGCCTCCAGGGCCCGCCACAGATCATCCAAGCAGCCCAGCAGCGCTATGGCGGCCACACACTCTGCCTGCACCCTGCAGCATCAACTGCATGATGGGGTGTGAGGGCAGAGTCTTGTCTATGCTGCCTGGCTGCCATGTCCTTGGCTGCACTGTTCCGTGTGGGCCACTCTCAGGAGCGACTCTCCTTCAGGGGGGCTGCTGGAGGGGGTTGCAGAGGGAGGCGAGGTTGGGGCAAAGGCACGTGTGCCCATAGAGAGGGCTCCGAGTGCCGCCTCTGGCACCCATGCCATAGGTTCGCCACCACTGGGTTAAGGCATTAGGCTAGAAACCAGAGACTAGGCAGCTAGGTGGCTAGGCTAATCACTTTGTCTCAGGCCTGGGAAGCAGGCAATGGCAAACTGCTTCTGAAAAACGTTGCCAAGAAAATTGCAGGGACTGGTCCAGGCAGTCTCTGAAAATTGTCTATGATTGAAAGAAGAGAAAAAAGGATTTTTTCCCCAAAGTAAATAGTGTTTCCCCAAAAATAAGATCGTGTCTTATATTAATTTTTGCTCCAAAAGACGCATTAGGGCTTATGTTTGGGGAAATACGGTACTAAATGCATCCGTCTGGCTGACGATCTTAACTGGGGCTTATTTTGGGGGTTGGGCTTATATTATGAGCATCCTGGAAAATCATGCTAGGGCTTATTTGCCGGTCGGGTGTTATTTTCGGGAAAATTTGGTATTGAAGTTGTCTTTGGTTGATGTAGATATGTAAAGAGGCAGATTTAGCAAATATATTCTATATATTTTTATACTGTATACAGAATGTGAAATACATTTGTGCTATTATGTATTATATATTCTCACAGAGCTCTATTGCTGGCTACAATACAATATAGATACCATAGACCAAAGTTCCAATCACAACACTGCATTGGAATCATACTACTAGTATCAGGCTCAATAAACGATGCACTAATACTTCAGGCAATGGGAGAGAAGAGCTTCAATCCAGTAAGTGTGTCAATGAGGCAGATTACCATTGCCTCCCTTTATATCATCAAACTACAAGGTTCTTTTCTACCCACCAACAAAGCAATAATGCAGCAATTTAATAATTCAAAATATTCAAATCTCTGCTAATTACTGAAGTGCAATTTGAAATAAGCAGTTTGGAATTTGTTCTGCTTAATCTATCACATGGATGATGCAGATGTAATTAACCAAAGTTCATATCAATCATGATAAGAGCATATATAATTTATCTAATGCACAGGTCGGCAACCTGCGGCCCCGGAGCCGCATGCGGCTCTTTGAGCCTTCCCCTGCGGCTCCCAGCCTCCTCTGCCTTTGCAGAGAGAGACAGAGACAGAGAGAGGAATTGCGCTTCCCTGCTTCTCTCTTTCTCTCAATCTCTCTCTCTGTGTGTGTGTGTGTAAAAGAGAGTGCACTCACAGTGTTCTCCAAGGAGCTGGGCGGAACTCCTCCCTTCGCTGCATCTCTGCAGGAAGCAGGAAGGGCAGGAGAGAGCTAGCTAGCCCAGCTAGGCTGACTCAGGAATTCTGGGAGTTGAAGTCCATGAGTCATAAAAGAGACGAGGTTGCCTACCCCTGAGATTGTTGGACAACAGCCTGAAGCTTGTCAGGTGAGCAGCAGATAGGAGAGGGGGGGGGGAGAAAGAGAGAGAGAGGGAGAGAGAGAGAGAGAGAGGAAAGAGAGAGAAAGAAAGAGAGCGGGGGAAGAGGAGTGGCAGACCAAGGGCAGATAGAGAGGGAGAGAGAGAGAGACCCTTTTGACATCTAAAATGAAGATAACACTGCATATATCCTTTTTTTACCTGTGTGTGTGTGTGTATGTGTGTGTGTGTGTCTGTGTGTATGTATATATATATATATACATACATACATATACATATATATATACACACACACACACACACAAACACACACCACAAACTTATAATAAAGGTAAAAAAGGATATATGCAGTGTTATCTTCATTTTAGATATCAAAATGGTTTTGCGGCTCCCAGTGTTTTGTTTTTGGTGGGAAACGGGTCCAAGTGGCTCTTTAAGTGTTTTGGGTTGCTTACCCCTGATCTAATGGCTCTGGCTCTGGAGTTCTTAGTTTTGTCTCGTAGTTATTCAAAATCAATAGAAATGCAACTGATTGTTGAACTGATCATTTATTAGAAATTCAGGCATTTATCATTTTTCTCAACAGTAAAAGATTTAACTATTATAATAGTGGAAAGAAGGATGCAAGCTATACATCTCGGAGGAAAAAACTCTACAGTTGCACTATAGGTTTACCAGATTGCTTCAGGATACACTATTATAGTTTACAATTAAGATAAAGATTGACTCAAAACATTTGCCGTAAGGATCAAGGCTAGCCATGAAGATCCACAAGAATGAATGAGGAATAAAGAAAGTTCATTTTTTCATGGTAAGGTTGTGCTGTTATAAGTCAAAGGGGAATAAAATACATTTGTCAATATGTGTTCAATTTTTTTAATATTCAGCAGGACAAAGCAGAGAGAATGAAGGCAATGTAATAAATGGTGATTTCTACATAAGCCTCTGCTTGAAAAATGTACAAAAAAAATCAAACGCAGAAAAAAAAACTATTGCTAAACATTTCATAAATCCTACTTAATGGAAAATTGTGAGTTTAAGGCATGAGCCCCTTTCCCTTATCAAAGTTTTAAAAATTTAACACTTCATTTAGTGAGGAATAAATGAAATTGGATAAATTATGTAAAAGAATTACCCTGCATTGTTACATATTTAAAAGAGAAAAAAATTCATGCATGTAGAGCATGGTAGGTAGCACAAATGAAGGAACATCGATATATTACGTTTTCATAGCAGGGCCCTTTAAATAATCCGGTAGTACTGAAAGGCTTCTTTTGTGAGCAGCTATCTATCCCTCATCTTAATGCACACGGTGAAGTGACAGTAGTGTGCTATGCACAACACTTTCCCCTTAGAACAACATTTTTATCAAAATGCTTTCTTTAACAATATCAAGAGTTTCCATTTTATTTACATTAGAACTTATCAACACAAGATAAAGTGCAAAGTCTCTCCCTCCCTACCCTCAATATTGTATTTGGCTAATTTACATATTATAAAATTTGAATACTGCTTCATAAATTGTCTCCCAAGTAAGTCACCAGCTGCTTTGTTTCTTGAATAGAACTTGCTCTTTTTATTTTTTATTTTATCAAAGTACGAAAAATACTCCTGCCCTGGACTACTTTGGCTTTAAGATGTTTTCCTGACCCTCACAGGAAATTTATTATTGGCAAATCTGTCATGTGGCAAATTTACAGCATTCTGTAAGAACATTGATGAGGCCTCTTCTTTTCAACCATAATGTAAGGTATTAGTTGCAAGAGAAAAGATTAAATTTAATGTAGGAATCTGATATGTAACATTTACATTACAGAACCACACTTGGAAGCTAAACCACCAGACCGAGACTTCCTCCAAAACGCTCCAGCCGCACCTTGCACCAGGAATTCATAAAAATGTTGCTCCAGTACTAATTGTCATTGCACTTCCCCTCCCCTTTGCTCTTTCCTTCATTCCAGGGATGAACAAAATTTCTTGTGCTATTACTACTATCATTACAACTACAACTAATGCACAGAGGACAACCATCTTTGATGAAGTTAACCTCATTCTAGAAGATGTGCCATATTAAATTCTTTGGCTCTGATGCAAAGCCCAGTAAACAATTAAAGATCTTCTGCTAGCTTTCAGTGGGTTTGAAGGCCTTTGGTTCTGAGTGAGTTTTATTCAGTACTGCTGTAGTCAGTGTGCCTACAACTACTAGATAATGTGGGAAGTCACTCCCAGGCCAAAGTTTATTATTTAATAGCTTAAATCCAATGTAAAATTGATATTTAACAAGAGTCAATTAAAACCACCGACCGATTTCTATGAATACACACGTCAGTCTGACTCTTTTTTTCATATACACTGTTAATGTTAAGATATTATTTTAGGATTCAAATCCTCTAAAGCTCAAAATGATGATCAAGGTTTTATTAAAACCACTAGGAATTTGAAAGCTTCCTTAAATAGCATGCAGCATAATTTGCCATTATTTTGGACTGCATGATGGTGTTTTTGGTGATGCAATACTAGATGTTCAAGAATCACAGGCAACTCCCTGAATACACACAAACACACACACACAATTATATGTTGTTGTTAAAATTAGCCTCTAGCACTAAATGTCACGAAAAATGGCCCTTTCCTTGTGCCAAGACATTTGTACAATACTTGGTCTAGCTGAGAGTAAGGCAAATAAAGATATCTCTAAAAGACATGTCTCAAGGATTCTAACATTAGTTATTCTTCACAACTTACATGAAAGTCTTCAATTTCCTCATAAAATATTTTGTTTTGATAAAGTATGACAACGAACATTGTTATGTGATTTAGGAAAATACTTTACTTAATCTGATCTCCAAAGCAACTACTGAACAGATTTGCTCATGTAAACAGATGGTCGTTGCAATTTATTGTAGTAATTTAATTGCTAAAATTTTGTTATTTGCATGACGAGCCCTAACAGTATAAAACTAAAAGATTTACCTTTTTGATCTAGAAGATGCTCACTGGATGCCAATCTCTATTGAGAGATTATGTCATGGTCATGGCACTTCTAATGTGAATATTCTGGAGTTACAAATATTCAAATACAATTTTGTTACGCATTCAGCTATAAAGTTCATTTAGCATATTTGATTTCTACTTTAGCCTTTCAGTGAAGGAAGAAGTGGGACTATTTGATGAACTTTAAAATACAAAGTAGCAGTCTGAAATATTTTAGTTGTTTTCAATTATATATCCATATGTGTTTTTAAATTTAAAGTGTACATTAAAAGGACATATCCTATGATGAAACTGAAGTAGATGAAAATATCCACTTTTAAAGTGGCATTCAGTTAATTGCAGTAACATAAATTAGTGATCTATTTGCAATAAAAATAAAAAATGGCTATATAAATGAACTTTTGCATTTGCTGAAACATGTATTTTAGGTTTTCACATAGTTTTCTTAGAATGACAACAAAATGTAATTCTGAATTAAACAAGATCCATCTCCATGTTAATTATCAAAGTATCATTAAAGTTTGGAAAAAACTTTGCCTTTTAGCATCTTATAGAGTACATTTTATCTTTATTTGGACAAAAAGAAAAGTATTTTAATGTTTTTTAGGATTGCAAAAAAGAACTAAGAGGTCCTTAATTCAACACTATTACTAAATGTAATATGAAAACTGCAGATATTGTATAATTGCTGAATAATATCAAATACACCAGAACATTACTGGATCTCTACAGGACATTTTAAAGTATATTTATGCCTTTGGAGATTGTAAAATATAATAAGAGATCAAAAAGATATTAAACTCCAAGCACGTTAGGACTTACAGGAAGCACCATTTAGACTATAATGCCACCTTCCCCACATAAGTAAATGAAGAGCAAGCTTTGTGTGTGTGCACTGATTATCAGGTTCTGGACTGTGGGCACAGATAGTGAGAACCTTACAGTTACTCTGCATTTTAAAACATGATACCTAGAACAAATAAATGACTCATCATGGCATTTGTACTCACTACCAAAATTAAGATAAATTGAAGCCACTGCCAATTTTAGCCCTTCATTTATACAATTTGACACTACAGTCCCATTCTATATTGTGTGCATTTAAGTTGCAAAGGATCGAACAGATTATTAGTGTAAAGTGTTTGCTTTATAGCCTCATCAGAACCAGACTGAGATTCTAATTGCTTAAAAAGAGTTCATAGCACCTTAAAATTATTTTTAGCATATATCCCCAACCTTAAAAGGTCAGCAAATAGCATGAATCTGTGGCAACAGCTCTCTGTTCAATAGTTTGCTTGAGAAACATAAATATTTAACACATTACAATTTGTGAAGTCATGACATTCTAATAAATATTAATAAATGAGTTAAGATGGCCAATTTCTATGTTTCAATGTAAAAACTGATACATATATGCAAAAAAGCTAGGATTAGAAATCTTTAGCACCCATGAAAATCTGAGATATTTAGTCTTAAAACAAGTAATTTTATGCAATGCACAAATGGTGAGCACAGAGAAGTTTTAAATTAGAATTTAGAAGTTTTGCCTGATCTATACCTTTAAATACTAGTGAGTATGATATGATCCTATTCAAGAATGCCAAACTCATGCATGGATTATGTTACAATCAGTGACATAAGACAATTTCTTAAACAGTCATTGCTTTTGACATCTTGAGTTTCTTTTAATCTTTCCTTCAGGTTAAAGACCATGCTTTGAAACTGCAGAGGTTTTCCCACACATTCTGAAATTAAGTATTATAATATGGAGACCAAGTTTTGCTTCATTTTCTTATGTATATTTTAATTTACACAAAAAATCTTATTTTTTTAAAAAAGTATTTATAATGCACCTGATGTTTTTTTTAATATTACACTTGTTTTGAGTCCATAGTCTACCTAACTTTCATTCCAGTTTACTGCTTTCTGTTTTCTGATCCAATCTACTCTTGTTGCTTTTTACCATGTAGATAAAGTAAGCAAGAGTTTCTTTTTCATTCACTGGGATGTTCCTGAAGTGACGACTGACGGTCTGAAAAAAAAAAACATTTTTTTTAAATAAACATTTTCCTAGCAGAAGGAAAATACATGTGGAAATCACAAAGTCATCACTGACTTACTTCTGCCAACTGAGCTTTATTGAGACCAGGTCTGGTTTGTAATTTGTAATGTCTTTTGTAACGGCGCAAAGTGTTTACTTGAAGTTGAAACAAGTCAACCTAAAAAAAGTGGCACAATGAAAATATATATTTAGTTTAATTGACAACTGAAAAGAATTAAACCTGTATAATGGCTTGCATTTAATAGCAGAAAGCTTCTTCACAAGGTATATAAAGTTGCACATGTTAATCTTTCCCAGGGTTATGTGGCAGGACAGCCATGTGACCCCAGGAAAATAATGCAGGTGTTTTAAGAAATTGCAAGGGCAACTTTAGTGCTGTAATGCGCTTCAAAACATTTTTTCTTCAAAAGCACTGCATTCCTAAAAAACTATGCAACAAAAGCAAAATATGGCCAACCCCGCTTCCTTGAAATTCTTTAACATTTACTTGTACTAGGAAATGTGTAGATGATTACATGTATATAACATGTATAACATGTTTTCAGCATCATATAGGTATTTTTGTTAAATTTTTCTTCAGAATTTTGAATGCTACAAACTTAGAGAACGAAAGCAGATAGGTTTACAATATGTTAATACCTCAAAAGGTTGTAAAACTGAAAATTAGGAGAAAAGGACAATCAGATTAGATGATTCATAAGATTAAGAAAAGCAAAGAAAAAGGACTTGCTAAAGGTATAGGATGTATAGCATGGCACAAGTATATAGTGAAAGACAGATGCTGAGTAGTGAGGGATTCAGGACATATAAAAGGAAGGCCTCACTCAAACTCTTGATGTTTATTCAAGATATAATAATTATCATCAGTGTGATAACATAGGGTTCCTCTATAAGGCAAGTCAGAAATTGGCAGAAAGCTACTGTGGCTGTTCTTGAGTTAATGATAAGTAGTGGAAAGTTAAAGCACTTCAGAAACAGTAACAAGTCGGTTTTAATCTGCTGTATCCAAAGTTGCTCAATTTTCTAGGTGTCTTAATAAATCTTAACAAATCCATGTATTATGCCACTTTTGGGAAGTGTAATTAAACTTACAAAAATATAAATAGAATCTGAACAGTAAATCTCAATTTTATTATGTAATTCACCTCTGGAACATCTATTTCATGCTCTGGAGAGTCTCCCCCATCATCGCTGGTTTTCCTTTTTCTTTTATTTCGGACACTTTGAATGAAGTTCTTGTGGAAATCACATATATACAAGTGTCTTACCTAAAATTAAACAAGAAAAAATTAAATGGCACAATGCTTACAACAGTAAAAAGAACGATAAAAAGAAAATCTGTCAACTTTCACTGCTACAAATTTGAGTTGTTTTAAAAAAGGTTTTCATCTGTTCATCTAAGAACAATTGCACATCAAAAAAGTACAACAGAAGAAGGGTTGCTTTCTTTTTACAGTTTTGATTCATTGTATGGAAAATGACTTCATTTAAGTCCATCTGCTTTCTTCAAGTTTGACAGTAAAGAGGCTGTTTCAAAAAAGGATTTACTGGGGTAGTGAGTTAAAACTAAAGCTGTGGGCTACAATGTGAAACTGAACATGGAACAGCTGAATTTAGTTTTTAATGTCAAATTAAAGTCCTTACTGTGGGGTTGATGGGTGTTTGTAGGTCTGTATGCACAAATAATACAACTTGACATCAAAACGCAAGGGCCATGAAAGCCGGTGGAGTGACTTTGGGCCAGTCACACTTTCTTAGCCCAGCTAACCTCACAGAGTTGTTGTTGGGATAATAGGAGGAAGATGTGTTAGATATGTTTGCCTCCTTGAATTATTTGTACAAATAATGAAGGTGGGATACAAATAAATAAACAAAATTTTTTTTTTGCCCTTATGTAATGTTATATATACAAGTAAGAAAGAGGATGAAAGTACATTGTGAATTCAGAAAACACATTTTTTTCATTTTCCTGTAATCACAGCTTGCTGTGACAAGCTTGCTAATAATCATTAAAACCCTTAAAATCAACTTTCAAATAAAAAATTAAGTGTGTTAGAATTTAATAGAGTTAACAAGCCCCCCACCAAAACTTGTGAGGAACTATTATGAAAGAAATTTAGGGTGGCAGAAAAAGTTGGGGGTGACAGTACTGCTTTTCAGTATTGAACTGTGACAAATTCCAGTTATTATTAGCTTTAAGTTTGGATACTGCCTATAAGTTCTCAAGAGCTGTTTGATTATGTTGGAGTATAAGTAAATAACTAAGCAAACCAACACTCCCAGGGACTATTGATAAAGGAATCCCATTGCTCCTGATTTGGCTATCTTTTTCTCTTATACACATACAACACATAATACACATTCAATAGACAACTTGTGATTCCTTGGGGGATCATTTCAGATACTACCTTACCAGATTCCTTGATGCATTCAACAATGGCAGAGCTTCTTACATAGTTGAATAGTTATTTAAAATTCAGGGAAACATTCAGAGATGCATCTGCCTTAAAAAGTAATCCATGTTGAGCTGTATAGCGCAGTCAAACATTAGGAGCTGACCACAGGATATGCTTTATGACATCTTGTATTATGTCATAAAATGCTTTATAATTTTTAGATCATAAAATGCTTTATAAAATTTGCAAAATTTCAATTCCACAGGAGTCATGGATCCTGAATGCATTCTGTAAGTTAGCTCATCTGAAATACCTTGGTTCAAAACATTTTGATCTATGATGCATTGTTTCACCCAGTTGTAGGTTACAGATATGAGAATTTTAGTAATGTATATTTAGTAATATATATTTAGAATATTGCAGAATTATAAGATGGTAGTTGTTTTATGCATGAAAGGTATTGAATGATACAGCAGAAATTTATAGTCACAAAACCTATTTCCAGAGCCTTACAGTTAGTATATTAATGAAATGTATCTGATGGAGTAAGTACTTGCTTAATAAAATAACCCATTTAGTAGACAATTAACTGTGACCATTTTGGATACATTTCCCTTGAGAAAACTAACCCACAGTTAACTTTTTTTACTATTACTTTCATATTTTACGGGGCAATAATTATGCTGAAATAATACTGAAAGAAATGAAATCATCAAAGTTTGTTCTTATATTTTATTCCGGTTAAAGGCATTAACTATAGACTAACCTAACAGACAACAGAAACAGTCTTACTAGACATCCACTGGTACTTTATATACTGTACATCTAAGGAATAAAACAACATTCTGAACTCTTTAGCTGGGCATTTTATTGGTTAACTTATAAATACATACATGAAGTTCTTTATTAATATTAGCACTTGTAATATCAGATAACAGATACATCACTATATGGCTATTGATTGAAAAGCAATCATTTTTTTCTATTCTTAAATTACAAATAATAAATAACTGGCCTCTAACACACTTCTAGTATATGTTTATATATAATATCAACATTCTGCCCAAAAATCAGAATTGGGTACAATTTTTCTTATTTTAGCTATTTACTACAAACTTGCCTTTCCCATTTTTTTCTGATATAACATACTTTATAACTTTGGCTATGAAAAGTAAGTACAGTTCAACAACAGCTGCAATCCATGCAGTTTTCTTTCAACAATATGAAGCTTGTGTTTCATTTTCCTTTCCTTTTCCCCACTAAGTCTTTTTACCATCATGCAGCCCTAGAATCCAGGTACCTTTATCAAAACCAGCTAGATGCTGCCACCTGCTGTGGCTTTATGCTATTTTTGTCACTTCAGTTCTGAATGAAAAAGATTAACTTTGTTACTATTGCTATTAGGTTTACATGTAAGATAATTATTTCATTCTTATATTTCATAAAAAAATAACATCATTCCCTAAAAACATAATAGGATTTTAATGGTGATGCTGTTTCAGGCACATCTCTACACTGGCTTCTTTACTAGGATCATAAACCAACGTACTTTCATTTTAATGCTGCATCATTCATTCATATTGTTCCTATCTCCTTGCTTCAGCATAGGAAAATACTGCTTTGCTGACGCAGGGAATTCACAGCAGCCCTTAGAATCCCATAAAAAGCTCCTCTAGGATTTCAGAGCTACTACAGCAGCACTAACTACTACCACAACAGAAGAGAGAGGTTCGGTGCACAACTGCAGGCACAGAGAGAAGCATGCAGTGGTAAAGCTTCTGCGGTTGCCACTTACACTTTTGTCAATATCCAGTTTCAGCTTTTTCTGAGAGATGCTCTTTTGGATCCTCTTGCTGAAGGAGGCGTTGCCAGCCGGGCGGACGCAACGATCCCCATCGTCGATGAGGCAACAACTTTGTCCGTAAAAAGGGGTGGTAGGAGGACCATCCCGGCTATCTTCCTCTGTGCTGAAACCATTCATCGCAACCTCCCACCAGCCTCGGTCGACCAAAGGGGCAGCGCCGGGATCAACTTCGCCAGCCTTTGCGCTCGCAAACCTCCGCCCGGCCTATCCCGCCCTGGGACTCCGCGGGTTTTAAGGAAACATCTGGAGAGAGCCGCCAAAGCAACGCTCGCTTCGTCCGCCGCGTCCACCGGGCGGCCTTCCCAGGGGCCCCGAGGAACCCCTCACGCCGCCATCCCGCCCAGGGGCCCCGGAAGCGGTCCTTCGGGGCTGGCGGTGTCCTTCGCCTCTCCGAGGAGTCGCTTTCCCGCTTCAACTGGCGGACGCGCTCCGTCCTCCTAGCCTGCCCCGACCCACTGGGGACCCCAGCCTCGCAAGCAGCCCCTCCGAGAGGAGGCGAAAGCAAGAAGGGTCCCTCTTCTCGCCTCCTCACGGCCTCCCGACCCCCTGGCAGCCGGCCGAGGATCTCGTCCCTTCGGTTGCTTAGGTCACAGCCCCCGGAGCCGGCAGCCCGGTACGTATGGCTGTGCCCAGCTGCCGGCCCCTTCCGCGGAACTCGCTAGGCGGACGCGACCTGTCGCTCCGCCGCCAGAGAGGCCACCAGGCCACGGCAGCCCAACGCCCGCACCCGCTCTCTCCCTCGCCCGCCTCGCTCTCGTCCCTTTCCCACTCCCTCAAACACAAAACCTGCCCGCTCCGCCTCTTCGCCTCCAAGCGGAAGTCCCGTCCCCGGGCAGCCAGTGGTTAGTGCAGCTCGAGAGGCGGGGCCTGGGCTCCCGCTCAGACAAGGTATTGGCCGAGGCAGCTGCTCGTGCCGATAGGCTACTTCCTGCGCGAAGGGAGGCAGCCGGAGAGCGTTTGAAGTCCGTGCTCAGAACGGGCTGGGGGTACGGAGCGGGAGTTCGCAGGAGGCGGATGGGGAGCTCTTAAGCTGCCCTGTGTGAAGCCAAGCCTTCTGCAGGGACACGCGCGCAAGAGGGCGGGCGGGTCGGGCTGGGAGAGTTCGAAAAACCAACGCTCGCGTCCACCTCAAAGGCGGAGGTGCCTTGCGGGCGCTCGGGCAGTGGACTTTGGACCAGGAGCGCTTTGGCTCCTGCTCGGACCGACTGCGTGTCTGGTTGCTGCCAACTAATAGAGCGGCCTCTACGGATGATCAGAGCCCAGCGCTACCCGTGAAGGGCGGCCGTGAGATCCCGGGGAAGAAAGAGAAAAACAAACCGGGAAACCAGTAGGGTGGTTGCGTGGCGACATGGACGCCACAGAGAACCAGGGTAAAATAAAGGCTGGGAGCTTCCTGTACCCCATAAAGACTCTAGAGCAGAAAACAGCGGACGTCCAGGTCGCAGCTCTTACTGGTTTTTGGGGCTAAGATCCAATGATACAAATTCTTGTGAGAAACAAACTGAAAAGCTGGTGGATCTCTGGAAGTTTTACCTTACAATTTTTCGCCCGAGTACTTTTCAAGGTGTAGGCGTGTGGGTCCCCACTGCACAAGCTGAGTTAGTCTATTGAAGATGGGTCTAGAACTCATGATGTGGAACCATATAAAGGGTTAATTTTGCTGGTCTGAAGTTGAATAGCTGATTATTGGAATTTGTTCCACAACTGAATGTAGTGATGCTTGGGCAATTTTGGTGAATATGTTTTTGTCAGCAATGCATTTAGTCTGAGCTATGCACAATTGCCCAAGGCCACTCTTCATAGAACACATTACCTATAAATAAACAATTAGTAGATCATCTGAGTACTAATCTCATCCCCTCTTGAAGGTATGCAAATAAATGAATGCACATTGCTTTACTTTGTGAATAGCCAGGAGAAACCTGGAACCAAAAGTAACTTAAATCTTGTTTTAGTTCTTGAGACTTTACAGAATTCTATAGATCTACACCACGGGTAGGCAACCTTGGCTCTTTTATGACTCATGGACTTCAACTCCCAGAATTCCTGAGCCAGCTGGGAGTTGAAGTCCATGAGTCATAAAAGAGCCAAGGTTGCCTACCCCTGATCTAGACCATTTTTCTCTTCATGACCTTCAGGTATATTTCATGTTTCTTTTTGCTGAAAAAGATCCAGTAAGGAAGAAAACTATGCAACATTGCTTCCTTTAGCCAGGAGTGTCCAACCAGTGGCCCTGGATTGCATACAGCCCTGGACAGCTGCAAACGCCTCAATATTATAACATTATTATTTGTACCTGATTTCATTATTTTTACAAATAACTCAAGGCGATGAACATATCCAATACACCTTCCTTTTATTTTCTCCACAACAGCAATCCTGTGAGATAAGTTGGGCTGAGAGAGTGTGACCGGCCTAAAGTCACCCAGCTGGCTTTCACGGCTAAGGCAGGAGTTAAATTCATGGTCTGTCATTTCTAGCCTGGTACCTTAACCACTAATTAAACTGGCTCTCACTTTTTATCACATATATTAATATACCTATATATAAAACACATATAACCCATATAATATCACATTATATGATTTATCTACATAACTATATTATATATTTTATATGTGGTCCAAGACAGTTCTTGTTCAAGGAGACCCAGGTAAGCCTAAAAATTGGATACCCATGCTTTAAACAAAGCTAGCAGCTGTTTATCTGTAAAAGCCCTCTATATCTTACCCATAATCCTGTCACATATGTATCTTGCCCATCTCTGGTTTCCACATGATGTTGCCTTCATCTTTCAGCAGATATATGAAGCAGCCTTCAATCACCTTTTGCTGTTCCAATGTGTAAAATTGGATGGAACAGTTTGGTATTTCTTAGTCATTTCAAACTGGTGGGCATCTCCTCTCTGAGTATCTGACCATTGTCTTCTGCCATCTTTCTAGCCTTTTTCTTCCAGCAAAGAAAGCTGCATACAGCTGTTCAAAAGCCTACAGCTTTACCAGATATTTGGTGAATTTGGAATTTTTGAATAGGTTCAGGTGGTGTGCTTTTTACCTTGTCAAATGCAACAAAGCAAAAGAGATCATCCATGTCAAGGATGAGGGGGGACATGATAGCAGTGTTCCAATATCTCAGGGGTTGCCACAAAGATGAGGGAGTGAAGCTATTTTCCAAGGCGCCTGAAGGCGGGACAAGAAGCAATGGATGGAAACTAATCAAGGAGAGAAGCAACCTAGAACTAAGAAGAAACTTCCTGACAGTTAGAACAATTAACCATTGGAACAACCTGCCTCCAGAAGCGGTGAATGCTCCAACACTGAAAGTTTTTAAGAAGAGACTGGACAGCCATTTTATCTGAAATGGTATAGGGCAGGGATAGGCAACCTTGGGTCTTTTATGACTCGTGGACTTCAACTCCCAGAATTCCTGAGCCAGCATGGCTCAGCTTGGAAACCTCCCTTTTCCTTCAGCATGGCTGACTCAGGAATTCTGGGAGCTGAAGTCCACAAGTCATAAAAGAGCCAAGGTTGCCTACCCCTGGTATAGGGTTTCCTGCATGAGCAGGGGGTTGGACTAGATGACCCCCAAGGTCCCTTCCAACTTAATAATAATAATAATAATAATAATAATAATAATAATAATAATAATAATAATAATATACTATTATATACCTTTCTTGGCCCCATATATGCCCCTTTCCCACATTATTGTCCTGACCTTATAAATGTAGACTAGGCAAACAGCTTACATTATTTGTACTTGCATTATTGAGATAGAGATGAGTGATTTTGTCAGTCCTTCCCAACCAGGGATGTATAATGCTTGTGCACGATATGCATATGCAGATTATATACCTTTCTTGGCCCCATATATGCCCCTTTCCCACATTATTGTCTTGACCTTATAAAAGTAGACCACGCAAACAGCTTACATTATTTGTACCTGCATTATTGAGATAGAGATGAGTGATTTTGTCAGTCCTTCCCAACCAGGGATGTGTAATGCTTGTGCACGATATGCTTATGCAGGGATGTGGAGCACCAGAAAGCCTGTTCGTGTCTGTCTCAAAAGTATCTTGACATATCAGTGTGATCTTGTCATGTGAATGTGGCACAATAAGGAATCCCCCATCCCCCATTATGACACTATTTCCTAAGGAGACAGTTACAGCATTTGCACCTATGCCTAATTCAAAGCATCTCTTCATCCTTCTTCTTGTATTTCTTAATAGGAATAGATGTTAGAAGCCCCTATATTACATAAGATAACTGCTGGATTACTACCAAAGGATCCATTATTGCCATAATAAGCTTGGAAGTGCTACATTACAGTTTATGATGTGAACATAAAACCACAAGCCAACATAATTATTTTTCATGCATCCATAAGGAATATGTCTAAATTAACCACTTATAAGAATGATTTGACATTTGAAATAAAACAGCCCGAATAGCTCATTTTAAAAATGCTGTCATCTTAACAGTATCCAGACATTTTCACCAAAAATAGCTATCCTGTTGTATGAAAAAAAATAATTAGATTAATAATTTAAATAATTATACAAAAAAAGCCCTGCCCCACATGGAGAACCAATTCAGTTTAGGGATAAGGCCTCAAGCTAGAAACCAGGAGACTGTTAAGTTCTAGTTCTAGCCTCGGGCATGAAGCCAATTGAGTGACCTTGGGCCAGTCACTTTCTCTCAGGAAGCAGGCAATGGCAGACCACTTCTGAAACCTTGTCAGGAAAACCACAAGAATTTGTCCAGACAGTCCAGGAATCAGACATGGTTGAATGGAAGAAAAATAAACTTAAAAATTAAAACATTTCTTCTTTTCCATCTTTGTTTTAATATTATCTTCATTAGGGATATGTAAAGGCCTAATTCTGTTTAAGATAAATGATCTTTAATGATAAAAAGAAACGCTTCAAATGGCCCAAGCACAACAAATTTACATTATAGCAAAAAGTGATCTTAATACAAATGTTAAACTTATACCAGTACTAAATATTAAATACTTTTCTTTATACTGTTACTATAATTTTAAAAAGCTTGGACTTTTGAGAGGAAGAAAATGCATTTTTAAGAGTTATTGCTTCAAAAATTAAAGCAACACAATCAGGAAAAAAAACATTAACCTTCTGGTTAATATTACCTCCCCTTTATTTTTCTCTGTAGAAAGAGGGAAGTGAATGCATGTAAAGTGTTTATCGGGACTTTTATTTTCCACAAAATGATTCATTGGTTCTCTGCTGCAAACAGTAATGAGAAACTAGTTGTCTTCTATGAGATAGCTGGGATAATAAAGTCCCACCCCCCCAACTGCCTCATCTTCTTATCAGTGATCACCTCAACATTGCAGGAACCCAGCAATTATTGAGCAACTATCTGGCAGAATTAAAAGTAGTGGGGGCAGAGTGGTTTTGGTTCTTCTGTAGAGATAGATGTCTTCTTGGTACATAGTAGAACTCATCAAATTTGCAGATGACACTAAACTGGCAGGAATAGCCAACACCTCAGAAGACAAAGCTCAGGATCCAAAAAGATCTTGACAAACTTGAACAATGGGCCCTATCCCAACAAAATGAAGGACTGCAGGACTTGGGTTTGGCTAGTCTAAAGAAGAAACGGGTGATATGATAGCAGTATTCCAGTATTTGGGGGGCTACCACAAAGAAGAGGCTGTCAAACTATTCTCCAAAGCACTAGAGGGCAGGACAAGGAACAATGTTTGGTAACTGACCAGAGAGAAGCAACCTGGAATTAAGGAGAAACTTCCTAACAGTGAGGACAATTAACCAGTGGAACATCTTGCCTTCAGAAATCGTGGGTGCTCCATCACTGGAGATTTTTAAGAAGAGACTAGACCAGGGGTGTCACACTGTCGGCCCATGGGCCGGACACGTCATGACGAAACCGTGCCCACCCTATTGCCGGCAATGGGGAAAAAGCTCTGGGACATCGCGAGTTTGATATGTCTGGACTAGACAGTCACTTGTCTGAAATGGTATAGGTTCTCCTGCTTGAGCAGGGGGCTGGACTAAAAGACCTCCAAGATACCTTCCAGCTCTATTCTGTTCTACATGCTGGCAACTGTTGCTGGCTTCCAGCATGTAACGGTTGTCTTTTTTTCCTTTATATCAGGGATGTCAAATTGACGGCCCGCAGGCCAGATGCGTCATCCGGAAGCTGTGTCCACCCATTATCGGCAATGGCAAAACCGTCCCGATATGTTTCGTGATGTCTCATGACGTTGCAAGGTTGACATGTCTGCTTTATATAAAGCATATAAGCTCCAGAACAATGACATCAGTCAATTGTACTGCTGGTCATGGCTTCCCCATTGACTTTGTTTGCAGAAAGTGGCAGAGAAGTTGGAAATTACAATCATGTGACTTAGGGATGCTGCAACAATAATAAGTTCGGGCCACTTGCCAAGCACTTGGATTGCGATCACATGACCACCAGAGAGTTGCAAGGTCATAACTACCACTATTGTAAATTCAGTCGCTGAATGAGTGGTTGTTAAGCGAGGATTACCTGTATTATTTCATGTAATCAGTCTCTCCTCTCTTTACAAATGCCTTGGCTGTTACAAAACAGAATAGATGTACAAGTTTTCAGAAAAAGGACACAATAAAAATTTATTTTAAATATATTATAAAAGAAAAACCATTCAATTCGTAAAAATACTAAACTTGACATCCAAATGATTTCCAGTTAATCAGCAATACTACATTAAAGTGCTAGACATCCTTGATCTTTTCCAATTTAAGACAATGTCCCAAGATGCACAAAATAAATACACAATTCGTGGCAACATCCAATTTAAAAGAAACTGTTAAGCATGCATTACAAAGAGGGAAACTGTTTAAGAATCCCTGAAGACTTTCTACATATGAGCTGCATTTTTCCTGTTTCTTTCTCCTTAAATCTTTAGCTGTTTAATAGTATTGTTGGAAGAGCTAATTTTATACTTACTTTGGTTACGAATAATGCAATGTTGTGAACTTAGTGCATATAATTTTCTTTGTGATAAAAACATTCTACCCACCACAACATATGTTTGTATGCTTTTAAATTGGTTCAAATTAAAACATTGTTTTACCTACTAGAATGTGAAGGTACAGGTAGTCTTCAGCTTACGACCACAATTGAGCCCAAAATTTATATTAAGTAAGAAATTTGTTAAATGAGTTTTGCCCCATTTTATGACTTTCCTTTCCACATCTGCTAAATGAATCACTGCAGTAGTTAAATTAGTAACCTGGTTGTTAAGTAAATCTGGCTTCCCCATTGACTTTGCTTGCCGGAAGATTGCAAAAGGGGGTTATATAACCCTGGGACACTGCAACCATCATAAATGTGAGTTGTCAAGCATCTGAATGTAAATCACATGATCATGGTGATGCTACAACGGTTGTAAGTGTGAAACGTGGTCATAAGTCCCTTTTTCCCGTGCTATTGAACATAAATTTATTGGAAAGCTTAGAACAGAAGATAGTTCAAAACCCCCATTATAACTAGAACTCAAATTGGGCTATCGTTTTTAAATTGTTATCTTGATCTAAAAATGATATTTAAGGATGATAAATAAAATTTGTGTAAAATTTCGTTTTTACTATCGAAACACGACTACAACAGTGTCTCTTCATTTAAAGCATTTATGTATTCTGTTTTAATTTAAGAACAAAAGAAGCATTCTGTTCAAAAAACAGAACAAAATCAACTTATCTTGTATACTTCCTATGTTGGCACCCAGTTGAGATTGAACCTAGCTGGGACAAAAGCACCCGTGGAAAGTCACTATAGGAAGATAAAATAAATCCCTTTCTTGGGGAAGACTTGCTTGGTTCTCCTAAGATCAGTAATGAATTCAGAGTGTTTAAAAATCTTTAGCAATATTTGATTTAAAATCTAGTTCACTGTGATTGTTTACCAAGATACTACAATTTCTGGAAAAAGTTTATGTACTTTGAGCCTGTTAAGGGCATTTAGAAATAGGGTGCTAGATTTCTAAACAATTAGTGGCATAATTTTATATGCAGTAATAACAGGAGGCATAGTATCAGGCTGCACCGGAAATAATCCAAGACACAGAAACTGTGTGCAGCTCTTCAGTCAGAAATTTTGATTTTGTTACATATTAAAGGACTAATTTCTCTCTTTATGCTAGTTTAAATTCTGTCAAACTAACAATTTTTATATCAATGTCAGCACTCTGTGAATAGCTCTGTAAAACATTTTTCCCCAGATGTGAATATTTTGTGTTGCAGATCTAGACGAAAAATGAAGATCAAACTAGAAACTTAATCAAATCAAGGAATGTACTGTTTGCATGGTAAAAAGAAATATTGTATGACCTACTAATCTTCCACAGGTAGCCCTTGACTTATGACAGTTGGGACTGGAATTTTGGTTGCAAAGCAATATGGTCATTAAGGAAATCATCACATGACAACCAGATTTCCAGCCATTTTTATAATAGTTGTTAAGTAAATCACCATAGCTATTAAGTGAATCATATGGTCATTGAAGTGAATCACACAGTTGTTAAGCAAATCCAGTTTCCCCAATTGACTTTGCTTGTCAAAGCGAGTTGGGAAGTTGCAAATCACAAATCACAAGATCTTGCAATTGTTGTGAATGTGATTGCCAAGCAATCATATTCAATCACCTGACCATAGAGGGTGGTACGTCATAATTTTGAGGTTGTAAGTCATTTTTTCTGTCACAACTTTGAATTAAATGAATGATCATAAGTCAAGTACTGACTTCATCATTATTTTTATCAACAGCAATATGATGAGAAAATGGCCTGATAACATCAATAAATAACAACCCTTAACAGATTTTGTTGTACTATTCACATTTCTGGTACAGAAGCTATTAGTTCCTGAAGCTGACTAAAACCACTGTGAAAATGTATTCAAGCATACATAAAGGTGTAAACAGTTTTCTTTTACCACAGCCCTATTATTATTATTATTATTAATAATAAATTAATTAATTAAATGTATATGCTGCCCATCTCATGGTTCGAGGCAACTAGATATTGGGAAGGTTGCCTAATATCCCATATAATTAGTTATATTTTGCTTTGCTTGGAAAATCACTGGAGAAATTGGGGTTAACGCTTTCATATCTGTGTGCAACCATCTAGGACTAATAGCCAGTCAGGACGTCCTGGGAAGATTTTTACCTCCCAATACTTGTACTTGTCAATGAAGTGAAATGTTGGAACTCAGAGATTCTCAGGTTTTCTAAATTATCCGTCATCCTTCCAGCTTGCAATCTGAATTTATAATAAAACCATACCCTCAAAATATCACGAACTGCTAAATGTACATAAGTCTTGTACATTTCATACCCATTTTACTCTTGTCCAGCAAGGCACTAGGAAATTGTTCAAGTTTAAGCTTTTGTTGTACATTTGCATTTAAAAAGGCACTTCTTTATTTTAATGATGCTGTTATGTTCAATTTTACTGACATTCTAATGGGGCAAGCATATGCAAAAGTTTTCTAAAACAGTTTCCTGCAATTAATATCTTTAGTTGGCTTCCAAAAATTCACATAGCATCACAACTGGCCACTATATTTCACTTCATAAAAGGTAAACAGTCAAAACAGTGAGTTAAAACTATACTGAATCACTGCAATTAAGTGAGGAACCACCTATTTACAATCATTTAGAATACCTTATGGAACAGCATTTCTTTCTCTCTCTGTTATGATCTATAAAGCCCTATACAACTTGGAATGAGACTATCTGAAGGACTGTTCTTTCTGAATCTTCCTTGGCTTTTAGATATTTGATAAATGTCTTCTCTCACTCCAGCATCAAGAGAGATATGTTTGATGGGAACTCAAGAAAATTCCTTGTTGATGTCTGGAGTTGCCTGTCCCGAACAATCATCCTTCTACCAGTGGGTAACAATATTGTTATTTAGGCTGACTTTTAAGTATATTTTGACTGCTAAATTAGACATATATACTATTGTTTTCACAATTCAGCTTTAATTATGTTTTACATTGTAAATGTAATATTTGTGTAAATTGTTAACTTCCTGGAATTTTTTTTGTAGGATTTAAGTCTAATTGAATTAATACAAGGTCACAATACCCACTATTGTTTTGTAAACTTAGCACCGATAGATGTGATCTTTATATAAAATATGCTTGCTACTTGAGGTCAAGTTATGTGACTATTAATCTTTGTAATATGTCCTAGTAAAATTGGGAAGCTAAATTTTTATTTTTAACATAACTAGTTGATAAATTTCCAAAGGGAGTATTGACATACATGCAATCTGGAAAGTTTATAGAACATGTTCTTGTGATTATAAATAAAAATGAATGTGGACTAATTATATACAAACATGGTAAAAATGAATGTTCATTTTTTCAACTAGTCAACTGCTACTATAACAAAATGTTCAAGAGTTCTAAAAGAATCATTAGTATGAGAAATCAAGAAATACTAATATGTCAATTTATTTGGCAAAAAAATTACAAGTATTATATTGCTGCAGAGAAGTCAAAAATTTTCACTGTCCACTTAAGATTTAATTTCTGTCAGTTTCTAATGGATTATTGATAGTATTACCATAGATGTAAGGGCCAGTATTGTAACCTGATTAGGAGTATACATTAGGAAATTCCTAGTTAAAATCTGACTTTATTCTTAAACTTGCCACATATGGCTTGTCCAATGCCTATCTGTTATCACAGATATCTGGCATTCATATCTGTGAACACTGTGTAAACATATACTGATCATTATATATTATTTAATCATGCCCACCATGAAAAAAACTTCAAGTAAAAATGGCAACTGGTCATGTACAGTATTTACTGCTATTATTACTATAAGTTATGGTGTGCAAGAATAACACTAATAAGTGTATTCTTACATTTTACTGTAATCTACATGTTTCCTGATGTTTAGTTATTTCAGTTATTTAAACATTTTCAGTAATGTTTCATTCTTGCAGCTTCTTAACTAAGAACTGAAAAAGGAAACAAAACTTAAGAAATTGGATAATTAAAATTTGAATAAAGGACATTTTCTCATGAATTCATTTTTGAATTCTAACTGTGTCCCTCTATACACTTCACAGATTGTCTACATGTAGCATAGTTATAACAATGCAGATTTCTAGACTTCTTGCTAATGGGGATGAATTATCTAGAGACATACATGCAGCATCATCAAAGTAAAGACTGGCCTGATAGTCACTCTCTCCTGAGATTCTTCCTTTTTCATTTTTTAGAAAATTATTTTTTAAAAAATTGTCATATCTCCTGTAAAAATTATGACTGTAATATTTACATATAAATAATGTCTTTAAAGATCAAGATTCTTATTAAAGGTTTCCAAGACTGTTGAATTCGTATGTTCAAATATCCATTGTTGGGTTGGAGATGAAGGACTGCACATGTTCATGAAGATTTTTCGATCACTTTCATTACAGTCCATGCAGCTGCCGCTTACTGGGTGATAAAGTGTCTTGTCCTGAGGATGAAAGTTAAAATTAGTCTCATTACATGCACTATTTATTATTTAAATTAACTTTTTTCATATCAGAAGTCAATATATTATCCAACAGACTTTATTTGGAATGATGTTTTGCAAAAGAAATATATTGTTAATTTTTTGAAATTATGATTCTATTTGCTCTTTCTTGAATCTCTTGTTCTGAACAACATATTATAGCTCCTTTTTGGGTTTTTTTCTATTATCTAAGCAAAAAATAAGGTATCATTCAAAAGGTTACAAGATGATCACATCATTGATGCAAGTACAGGTACTCACTTTCCGATATTTCCATAGCTGATTTCCTTTCATTCCATGACAGTCATAAAGGGTGACTGGGCTGTTGTGGGAAATAGCATCAAAACAATATTTCTTTGCATGCTGAGGGTCTCCTGGACGGATATCCTCTCGCCAGCTGAATGTGAATACCTGTTTAATAAACATATGCTATCAGAAATAAATGAAAAAAAAAACCCCACATTTTTCTTCAGATTAATTTTTAATCATTTATCCTTGGACAAGAAATTAGATGTATTATAATAAAAGGCTGCCATTGCATTCTCAAAAATGAGCATATTAAGATTTTGTGTACTGTTATGAGTCTTGCAAATATTGTCTCTACATATCATATACTGTAGAGCAGGCATGTCAAACTCGCGACGTCACATGATGTCACGCGACGTCATTGCCGGAAATGGGGTGGGCGCAGTTTCATCGTGACGCATCCGGCCTGCGGGCTGGCAGTTTGACATGCCTGCTGTAGAGGAATTATGCAATAATTGATGCTTTAGATGCCTTAACTTAGGGGTGTCAAACTTGCCATGTCACGTGATGTGTCACAACATACTGCGACTTTTTCCCCATTGCAGGAGCTAGGGTGGGTGCGGTTTTGGCATGATGCATCCGGCCCGTGGGCCGGCAGTTTGACACCCCTGCCTTAAGTCATCAAAAATAGAATATATCTAGTTGATATATTAATGACTTCTGTCTCTTGACAGTTATAGACAGTCTTGGGGATTGGGTCATGACCACTAAGATAGTCTATATCAGTAATGCTATTACTGCCAGTGCTAAGAAGAGTCATATAATTATAGTTATCATTAAGAGCAATTATTTTCCATTGTTTTAATGATACGCAGCATTTTGGTTCAGTATTTAAAAAGTGCTTTAGAGTACATGACAACACAAAACACTCTTAAACTCATTGGCCTATTAGCATCGATTGGTCTGTGATAAATGATGTTACATTTTAGGACAGAATCAATCATTGCAATTCATTTTTCAAGAATAGTTACGTTGAGATCCATGAAAGAATATTCTGCAAAGCCTTCATTGGTGAAAAGTTTACTCAGTGATTTTTGAAAAATTTCTGAATTGTATTCATCTACATTTTTGCAAAGATTTGCCAATTTCTTCAATGTAAACCAACTGTAAATGGTACTGCTGACAGATAATGGTAAATGCTACAATGAAGAATACACAAGTATGCTTTATTGGTGTCTAGGTGATATTTACTGTATGAGCTGATCAAGACTTGCAGGGAAAGTGGGCTGAAAATGACAGAAGTCTGATGTGAGTTTTGATATTGTCCATAACTCTGTATAATAAAAATATCATCAACAAATCTTAGTTTTAGAAAATGATTTAGGGAGCAGGAATTAAGGAAGCATTGTCTAAATAGTAATATTGCCATAATATGATGACATATATTTTCCCCAAGTTAAAGTAATTTTTATCCTTTTCCAACTGCTCTATGTATATTATGAGTATATTATATGCGTACTATGTGAACATAACACTGTATTTGTCTCTTAGTATTATATTTGATTTGTTTTTTTAATTCTGCTTTTATTACTTTATAAGTAACTTTAAATGCAAACATACTTAATACTTCTTCCTCCAATTTTCCCCACAACAACCCTGCAAGGTGGATTGTGCATAAATAGAAACATAAATTAAGTTCATCTTAAAAAATGCACTTACCTGCACATTGCTCCATGCAGCTTCTCCTCTACCTTTCACACAGGTTTCAGCTCTTAGTGGTGAACCTAAGGTCCCATGCTTTGTATCTACACAAAGACCGGTCCCTACATTACGGATCTGTGAAATAAAATCAGTGATGAGAGCCATTTAATAAGCAATAGCTTCACTGGATGAAATTTGTGATGCAATTCTTAGTTTAAAATGCATACAAAAATGATGTATGCTGCAGTTTTTAAGCAGTTTTAAGTCCAATTTTTATACTACCTTAAAAATAGCAAGAAACAGGAGAGAATAGATTTACAACTTAACTAAATTTATTAAACTGACATGAATCAGAAATATCACTGAATCATTTATCTTTGAGCTGTGGTGGCGCAGTGGTTAGAATGCAGTATTTTCAGGCTGACTCTGCTCATTGCTAGGGGTTCGATCCTGACTGGTTCAAGGTTGATTCAACCTTCCATTCTTCCAAGGTCAGTAAAATGAAGACCCAGATTGTTGGGGGTAATATGCTGATTCTATAAACTGCTTAGAGAGTGCTGCAAAGCCCTACCCAAACAGTTCTTCTTGAGGATGACATATAAGTTTTGAATAGTTATTTAAGATTACAATTGAGGTTTGTTGTTGTTGTTAGTTGCAAAGTCGTGTCCGACCCATCGCGACCCCATGGACAACATTCCTCCAGGCCTTCCTGTCCTCTATGATCTTCTGGAGTCCATTTAAGCTCACGCCTACTGCTTCAGTGACTCCATCCAGCCACCTCATTCTCTGTCGTCCCATTCTTCTATTGCCCTCAATCTTTCCCAGCATTAGGCTCTTCTCCAGGGAGTCCTTCCTTCTCATTAGGTGGCCAAAGTACTTGAGTTTCAACTTCAGGATCTGGCCTTCTAAAGAGCAGTCAGGGTTGATCTCCTCTAGGACTGACAGGTTTGATTGCCTTGCAGTCCAGGGGAGCGCAGGAGTCTTCTCCAGCACCATAGTTCAAAGGCCTCAATTATTTTGCACTCAGCCTTTCTTATGGTCCAGCTTTCACAGCCATACCTTGCAACTGGGAACAACTGAGGTTACCTTCTGTCAATTCACTCCTAACTAAACCTCCAAAATCTTTCTCTCTTCAGTTCCTCCTCCCTGCATAATTTAAAGAGAGAGAAGAGGAACCCTGTAATACCATTCTGTGGGTGTTTTACTATCCAATCATCATAGAAACTAATATAGCAAATTCCTGTTGACATATATACATTGTTCAATTCCTGTAAGTAATTCTGTAATATTGAAATTAAAAATATGCATTAAAAACACATTGACCAGCCTCGGGAACTGCAATCAGAGAGACCAGAAATTCTGTGATTATTATGGTATTTGCAACCGTATGCTAAAGTGTAGGCAAATGGGCTGAATGACTTGAATAAACTAACCTCTCCCCAGGCAGCTGCTGGAGGTTCCACAGGTGGGTAGAACTTTCCCAAGTCCCAAGCAACTTCATTCATAAACCACTTGAAACTTTTGCAGTTCAGTTTAATACGAAGTTCTTTCTGTGCAGCCACATCCCCTGCTGACAGATGTCGATATTCAGGTCTTCTTTGATAAATGTATTCTGCATATTCGTCCATCCATACTTCAGCCACTCGTTTCAAGTTCTACAAGATTCCAGTATTATAAATAAAAAATAAAAAAAATCTCTTGATAAATATGAAGGAAAGGAAAAATAAAAAAAAATGGCTAAGGGTAATGGATAGGATAAGGACAACTAGTGATAAGCAACTCTTCTTGACTTAATATTTCTTTTCTATTGGCACGTAGACTTAATATGTTAAAAGGTTAAAAAGGTAAATTAATGTATTTTAGATAGACACTAATCTCACCACAGTATTTGGCTGATGTATATATTGCCAGCTTGACTCAAAGGCAACTTCATTTTGTAGAATTCAAGATACACTATTTCATAATGAAATTATAATACTAAGTAAATCCACTAAAAGTTGATTAAAATTTAATACTTAACTCTTTGATAGATAAAATAGTTTTAAAGCTAGGCTTGTAATATAGGGAATCAAGTAAGAGAATGTATAATAAATTTTGAATAAATTAAAGGAATTTTCCCATTACTTCTTTTCCCACAAGAGGGAGCCTCTAACCACATTTTAAGATATGTTAATTTTGAATAAGAAGTAAAATATCTTTAAAAAATATTCACAATCTGAAAAGAAAAACTTGAATTTATAGTTAGGTAGCGACTAAATTTTTCATTGGAGCATATTTTCAAATATTCTAAAAACTGGTAAGTTCTTCATTTTAATTGTGCATATGAAAACTTAATAATGATATGAATATTGCACGTGTTTAACGGTAACTTTAGATCTTCAGACCTCTTACTAATGCATTTTCCTTAATTTACCTATCTTCTGCTTACAGGGACATGAATTTCTAAAATAAAAGACACACGAACAGGCTTCCTGTGGTAACAGATGACTATTTTTACTACAGTTCAAGTGAGTGATTTTTTAAAAAAATACTCCATTGTGAAGGTGTAAGAATAGCCCAGCAAGATTGCTTCTTACCCTAGCTAAGCTGACTCCTGTTGGAACCTTATAAGGGACATATTTTCTATAAATGTGGCCGACTCGAGAACAAGGGATATCTTCCATGCGACCTCCACACATCCAGACCTGTGAAATAGGAGAAAGAATATGAACAATTTAATTTTTTGACTATGTTGTGAATCAAAGCTTTTGAAAACAGAGATAATATTGCAATTTCAGCAAAATACACTTAGACCTTATATATTGTTCTGTGCCATTTCAGAGTAGTATGTACTGTATCTAAAATTATTTGAACCAACAGTGTATTATAAAAAATATCAGACTGTAACACATACCCCTAAACTAATTGGAAGATGAGGTTTCTAATGCACAATTTGCCTTATGTTAGTTTGTCTCAAAGAATACTCATCTTTTATATACAGGTTAAGTCAATCTACTAATACATGTTTTGTAATTCCCAGAGTATGCATGAAATGTCTAATTGTTATAAGAACAATAAGGAGATTTTTATTCTCCTACTGACACTTAGATATTTTCAAATATGAGGAGAGCATGCAGGTATCAACCATGCTGCTGCAGACTTACAATTAGTGAGAATAATTGTAATATCTTGCTATGCTGCAAATGAACTATAGTCCTCATTTAATGAGCATTTGATGCTAAAACAGCACTAAAAGAAGAGACTTATGACCTTTGCTTGAGGTCCAAACATTGTACCTTCTCTGTACTCACATTAACAAAATTTGGACCTGCTTGCATTATGACCGCCTTACCCTCAGTTGATTTTGCGTCATTTTCAATGCCTGCCTCCCCTCCACTGGGCTCACCCTCTTGGCCTCAAGCAGGACAGGTGCTGTGGAAATGTCTCATTGATCAGCAGGCAAAAGCTATGTCTGTGTGTGTGCTGCTTGTGTACCACAACTGACCAAGTCCTTCTTTTGCATGCTGGTCAGAGTCTCATTTTGCTTAAGGAGGACCTGGCTGACATGCAAAAGGAGGAGCTAGCCAGCACTGGGAAAGGAGGACCTGGCTATATACCAGTATGACAGAAAGCCTTGGTCAGTAGTAATGCATGGTGCAGAGGCATAGCAATGGCATCAAGGGCACCTGGCATAGAGATAGATAGGTGTCCAAAAGGGCAGAGATGGTGGATAGGGGAATTTGAAATGAAGGCAGTCCTTATCTTCTTCTAACAATGGCTTGAATCCAAGTGAGTCTTCACCTAATAACCATGTGGGATTCATTCAATTATAGCAACTGGAATTGCCAGAACAGTTGCTAAGCAGAGCAGTCACACAATTGTTTGCTTAACAATAGTTTCTGGGGTTATTAAATGAGAACTATTTGTACTTTTAATTAACAGTTAATTGCTTAGTGATTAAGAGCTTATCTAACTCTTATTAGATAATTATTTCCCATTTTGGCTTTACTAAGGCCGAAAGATTGCTAGAAAGTTATTACCTGGTTATTCTCCCCAGAGTAGAGTGAAAGCTAAATGGACTTTCTTTGGTTTTGTTTTTAGAGTTATTAATGATTCTTTGTGTTTGTGTGTGTGTGTGTGTGTTTTATGTTTTTAAAAAAGAATTTAAGCCACCCAGAATGATTGCAAATTGAGTGGCCTATAAAATGAACAAACAAATAGTGTACTGACAAATTTAATTCTGAATTTAAAACTGAGCTTCAATTAGCTTGACTAGTACTTGCAGTTATCATCCCAGTAATATCGACATTTGATCAAGAAATTTATTATTCTTGAATCTTTGTCAGCTCTCAGTATGAACATTCTTTCATACTTGAATGGATGTAACTTCTGTCAGTCTATGTCACTGGTTACAAAATGTTTTCCTTTATTACTCAAAACTCCTTATCGGAAAGTTTTTTATATTCAATGTAGGTAAAACACGTTTAAGTCAATTTTAATACCCTATGTGATTGAGTAATAGGTTTTTGTGTTGTTACCCAAAGAGAAAATACTTTAACCCAGTTTTGGGTAATTTAGCTTGATTTGGGAAGCATTGAATAATTGAAATAGAGCTTTTGTTTAGTATATTCCTTTCAATATGCTTAAATTATATTTAAATATTTTGATTAATAACACACTTTAAAACAGTTTAAGTGTGTTGTTATTAGTTATAGAATATAAATATGCATTTATTTATAAACTAATAAGCTACAAAATGATTTTAAAGGTTGTCTGCTTAAGAATATGGCAAACTTTCTAATTATCCAGCGAAAGTTTTGTTAGATGTCTGACACTGAAATGCTTCATTTTGTAAGCTTTCATTTTGCAAACGAAATTCAATAGTGAGCTGTCCCTCAAGCCATTTTATGAATTAAAATAATATTTTAATATTAATAGCAATAAAAATGTAATAGTGGTTTTAGGAGATGACAGCACTCTTATTTTATATTTAAATAATTCTTGAATGCAACTAGTATAGTCTTTAAGATAGATAAACATCGTGAATAGATAAACTAGTACAAGAATTTTTAAACAAGTTTGCAAAATGCTGCTTGACTGCATGTTTCTTTATTCTGCTATAACCAGTTATTGTTTTCCATTGAAATCTTATTCTACATTATGTTCATTTTATTTAATATTAAGGTGAACTTTTCTTTTTGAAAATCTGACATTTTATACTTTATCTAATATTTCATAGGGTCTATGAAATGTGGACCACTGCATTTCAGAAACATATTCTTCTTGGACCATTTTAAAACCTGGAAAAAATGCTAGAAATGATTAAAATAAAATGTCTGATCTGATTTTATCCTTATGTTATATCTACAGTTTGTCTTTTCAGTTTGCAAATGTAATTTAAAAATGCTTAAGATGATTCTTATACAATCAGATTGGAATGATAATTCCAATAATTTTCATTATTTTATTTTTAGGTCAACAACTTTAATTAATGGCCCACTTGATGTTCCAAATTCATAATCAAAGCATATAGTTTCAATAAAGAAACTATCATAGCAGGAAAACTCCAAGATTTGGGAATATAAATTTCAGAAATAAATCCTACATACATCCAATTAAGTTGTGAACAGAAGTATTGGAGCAAGAAGATACCAGCTGATTAGGGAATCTGGTGTATAAAAGTATAACCTATTCCCCCTAACCATATGTCCATTTCTGAAAAATAAAAATGTCCTTTAGCTGCGGCCAAGATTGTTAACTGATAACTTCCCACCAAAAAGTCAGGGTAGTAAATTGCATCTTGGGGTTTATATCTTATTTACTAGGCTTATATGCCTCTCCAATTTTAACTATAATCAGCTTATGGAGCTACAAATAGTAAAAGGATCAAAGCAATCCACAACACCACCCGTAATACCTGACAATGAGGAACAGTTCTAATATATATTAGAACATTCCCCTAGACTAGCCCCAACTCTTCTCGCTTTCTGTAAGCTGACTGTTTCAATGTCCTTTTGGGGTTTGAGAAGCTGTGGTTTGAATGCTTATATATATATAGTTTGCATAACAAGCCCACACTTAAACACCTATCTGCCATTAACCTATAAACCAGGTAAATTATTTGTAAGTTCATACTAAAATATTACAAGTCTCTTTACTTCACTCTTAACTAGCTAAACTCCATGTTTTTTAAAAATGGTTTCCACTATTGATGTAGCACATATAAATATACAGTAATTTCAAAAGCAGGCTTCCTATTCATTTTTATTGCTGCTTTGATTCATTTTATTATTAAAATCTTTGTCTGGTTACAAATTTCATTACAAGAAAACAAGCAGCTCTTGTCTCTGTTAAAAAAGGAACCAGTGAAAATGAATATCATGTTACATTACTGTAGAAGGGGAGGAAGCAAAAGGCTGAATTAAACATTACTGAAGAAGAAAATGAGCAAGCATCAGTCAAGCAGTAGTTCTTGCTATAAGTCCCTTTTGATTTTACCTTTCCATGAAACAGCATGCTTCTCACTGAAGCATTCAAAATTAATATTTTGTCTCACAAAGTTGTTTGTGCCTCGTAATCCGTTCTTTTAAAAGAAACAAAATGGCAATCTGGATTTCCCAAAACCATGTTGGATTCATATAGCGGCTAGTGAAATACAGTAAATGTTTAAAATGTGGTATTTTTAATTAAAAATGCAAATTTCTTGGACAAATAGTTTTGTCAGAAAAGCAGAAATAATATTGAATTTATAGTACCATTTCCTTCCAAGAAGTAGTATTCAATTCCCTTCTATGTATAATTAGCTTGTTTGATCATGAGACACATAATACATGTTTGAATACATTTTTAATAGCATTAGTGATGCATGGAACATTATCACTGCATTTTTATTTTATGTTGGCCTAATCCAGTGGTGGCGAATCTATGGCACGGGTGTCAGAGCGGCACTCAGAGCCCTCTCTGTGGGACACGTGCCGCTGCCCCAGCCTCGCCTCCCCCACGACCCCTTCCTCTCCAGCAGCCCCCCTGAAGGAGAGTCGCCCCTGAGCATGGACCACACGGAGCAGTGCAGCCAAGCAGCATAGACAAGACTCTGCCCTCACACCCCATCGTGCACAGTTGATGCTGCAGGGCGCGGGCAGAGGGCGTGACCACCATAGCGTTTCTGGGCTGCCTGGGTGATCTGCAGCAGGCTCTGGAGGCGGTGAGTGGCCCTGCGGGCAGGCGGGGCAGGGGGTGGAGCAGGGGCGGAGCCAGTTTTTGGGCACTCGGTCTCTAAAAGGTTCGCCATCACTGGCCTAATCCTTGAAACTTATATATCCATACATATGTAGAACCACTGAAAGCTATCCTCAGACAATATATTGGTCATTTTCTGTCATCATTTCCTTTTTACACAAAAATAAATATTACAAGATGGTATTGGATTCTAATGCAAAGCTGACAAAACATGAGATAAATACAATAATAGCAGCTCCTCTCTGAAGGTTTAGGAAATATACTGTAAATGAACAGAATAAACTAGCTTAGTATCTCTAAAATCTATTTTTTTTAGCAATTTTACTATAATAGTTGTACTATCTGGTAAAATGGCATGCTTTAATTTTGTTTTTAGTGCAACTGACTATAATTGAATGCACAATTTTCTACTTAATTATTCTCAAGTAAAGCTATGTTTTTGAGGTAACCATACAAGGGAATAAACTGATGTATACAAGAAAAAGAATCAAAGAGGGTAAGTTGTATATCTTGACAAGAAATTATAAATCAGCATATGGTTGCAAGTCATAGTTATATAGTAACTGTTGTTCTGTGTTAATGTTTCCCAACTCTGATAACTTCCAAAGGAGGAGAATTCTAAAAGCTGCCACATTTGGGAAACAGTGTTCTACTTTATAATGTGGTTTAGAATAAGTCAATACTGGAAAGTCCATATATCAAGTAATTATATTATGGATGTTGGGTAGCTCATTGGATACCTGAGGTAGTTGATTACTTTAAGGTTCTTTGAGGACCTGGAAGAATTAAAGTGTAAAATGAATGTGGTTTCAGAAAGTGAAACTGGATCAAACCACTTAAGATTTGTGGATTTCTTGAAGATGAAGTTGAACTATAAGAACTGCTATTCACTTGATAAAAACTGTTTCAGCAGAAAGGCTCAAAGTTAGTACTTGGTACTGGTAGAAATAGCTGTCAGTTACAAAAAGGTATTGTGATTGAGAACTGAAAGTATACATCCTGTAGGCAAACTAGACCTATGACAAAAGCACAGTAGATGCTGAAGAATGTAACTGTGAATTTTTAGAGAGAAATGGAAATTTGGCTTTAAATACAAATGGCATATTTTCAATTATGTATTTGTTCTGACGCTCCCATTCAAGTAAAAGCTTTGTAATATGCAATTACGCAAATAAATTTGAACTTCCTTCTGCTTATTACAATAAAGTTATACATTTTAATATTTAAATTCTTTTTCTTGTTTCTTTGTATTCTTATACTTTTGAACAATAACATACTATTTATTTTCCTGAGGGAAAGTCTTGAATTAGATTTTTATCCCATTTGTATTACTTTATAAGGAACTCAAAGTGGTAAACATATATAATATTCCTTCCTCCTATTTTCCCCACAACAACAACTCCAAAAGGCACGTTGAAATGAGAGAAAGTGACTGGCCCAAAGTCACCGAGGTAGCTCTCATGCTTAGGGAGGGACTAGAACCTACGGTCTCCAGGTTTCTAAGCAAGCATTTTAACCACTATATGAAACTGGCTCTGTTTTAAAATATTAATAATGAATATTATGTTTTAAAGTAAAAGTTTCCCTTCCCCAGTATATATAAAGAAATAAGATTCTTAAAGGCATGCATTAGGTATCACATCCGACTACAGCATTGTCACAATCAGATTCTTCCTATTGGCTATGTAGATCCCCTGACATCATTCATACATGCTTCAGTGATAATATTTCAATAGGAATGAATGATATTTAAATATATAAACTATTCTAAGTGCAGTACAAATACTATCCATCTGAACTGAGTGAAAATGCACAGAAAATCATAACACATTTAAAATTTAAAAAACAAGATTAAACTTGTATCAATAAAGAACAGAGAAATGGATTTAAGTGCAGGATAAGGATTTAATTTCTAACTTTCCCTTATTTATACTGACATAAACATTAAGACAACCCTCCCTTAAAACCATACTGTAAATGTAAATCTACTTTTTACTCTCAGTATTTTGTGGTGTCTTATTCAGAGAGTTGGGGTCCCTCCTAATTTTATTCCCACAATAACTTTTTATCAGGTACGTTGGACTGAAGTTAGCCCAGGGTGTTTTGTGTCAATAGAGGCTTGAAATTTAGTCTCTCAAGCCATAACCAATGCCTTTACCACTATACCATACATCTATCATTATGGAAAGTATAGTTTAGATCTCAGTTATTGGACAGGAAAATGTGGAGTTGATGGCCTGAAACTGATTATCTGGAGAATGGAATACATATACACATCATATACATGTTGTGAGTTTCCCTTCATTGTAATTCCTGGTATGGGTGCATGAATTGTAGCATGAACAGATATTATCACTTTAAAACTAAATTCATTTGTTGATTCTCTCTCTCTCTCTCTCTCTCATTATTTTTGATCTTGACTAAATCAAGACTGAAGAGGATAATGAACATAAACTTACTAATGAACATAACTTACCCTAAAGAAAATGTTAACTAGGATAAATAACTGAATAATTTGGCTTAACACACATTGCAAATTTAGTCTTTAAAATACAGAAAACATTATTTTGGAAGTTGTCCAAACTTAATTTATTCTGTTCTTCAGAGGCCGATTTTTTTGTGTCATTTTATATGTCAATGAATCCTTAAAACAAGATGATGGAGTTTCATAGTTTAAAAAATAAGAATCTTTTTTGAAATTCTTATGAAGAAATCTGTTACGATTTCATCAAAATAGTGTCTTCTATCAACCACAGTTGAATGAATACATTAATTTATCTTAATTTCTGAAAGTATACTCTTTCAGTTAAATGTCATTTTCTATTGCACAAAGGAAGAGAAATAGAAAGGACCTTAACTGGGATTAATTAATTATCCTTTCTGGCATGAAATAAAACTCTTTGAAATATTGTGTGTAACTAGTCAAATGAACGAAGTAGCTTCATTTCCTGCATATCAAGCAGTGAATACTTACTCTAGCAGTTTGGAAACAAAGAACTTTCCCAGGCACTGTCATCACTCTTGGAAAGAACTGCTTTAGAAAAGGTCCAACTAGAAATGATGAATGCTGTTTGTACCTCTCCCACAGAGAATTACACTGTTATACCGTTTCTTTATACACAATAGTAAAATGGATAAATGGAACCAAAGGGGAAATAAGAAACCTCCAGTATGTCTTTATTACTGTTCTGGAGATAAACAATAGGAAGAACATTTCATTTATTACATATTCTTTGTCAAATGAATGTAGTTTGATAGAATGCTAATAACACTAAGCAGTTCATATTTAGAAAAACTATTCAGACAAAACAGAAGACAAGAAATTATAATTATCAAGGAAGCTACATCTTGTTGTTAGCAAGACTGAATGATCTACAGTGCAATGTTTTTGCTAGTCTCCCACTGGATTCATGCTGAAACTTAATTATTCTTAATTAAAGTAATAATGATATTTGTCAATCAATAGTTAACTTTTAGTAACTAACCAAGTAAGCTAATAGTAATTTCATTTACTATAAACAAGTAAATTTACAAATCACATAGACCAATTCATCTATTAAAATATTTATCTGGTATTTAACTGGTTACTTTCCAAAGCTTTTTAATTGATAAGAATTTAACCATTTGCTTGAGCTTAGCCTTCCTTTACAAATATACTCTTATTAGTCAGTGTATCAGTGATACATGAAAAAACTCTCTAAAGTGAAGTAATAGTATGAATATTATTTCATTTCCATGATGGCTTTAATAGTAAAAGTACTCCAGTATGATCTTGAACAGTATATTTAAATAACATGCTCAGTCAGAAAAAAAGTTAAATAACAAATGTGCTACAGTCCCTGTGCATATCCATTGGTTTTTCCATGGATGGACAAAATACAGTATTTTATGTCACCTGGCTCTGTCACACTATTTTCTATTGCCATAAACACCCAGAGTATATTCAAGGTTTGTAATAGATTAATTTATGGTTAAATAAAATGTAATAATTGCATTGCCCCAAATTCAGACAATACAGTTAACTATAAACCAGTCACAGATGAATAGTTTACCTCTCTGTGAGAAGAGCCAAGACAGCATATACTTTAGAAGGAGAATAGAATAAATAGAATAGAATAGAATAGAATACTTTATTGGCCAAGTGCGATTAGACATACAAGGAATTTGTCTCAAAGATGCTCTCAGTGTATATGCAAAACAAACAAATAATAATAATCAAAATAACAAAGGATAGCAATCATAATAATGATACCAACAGAGAAGGTAGTAGAATAGATGAGAAGGATAAAAGTAATATAGCCATACTACATGGAAATATACTTAGACATAAGACAGAACTATGGAAATTAAGTGTTTAGCAGAGTGATGGCATGAGGAAAAGAACCGTCTCTGTGTCTAGTTGTTTTGGCATGCAATGCCCTATAGTGGTGTCCCAAGGGGAGGAGTTAAAACCGTTTATGGACAGGATGTGCGGGATCTGCAGACATTTTCTCAACCTTCTTTCTGACCCGTACAGTATATAAGTCCTCAATAGATGGCAGGCTGGTTGCAACAGTTTTTTCTGCAGACCTAATTATCTATTGAATATCTGTACCTGTCTTGCTTGGTTAACCAGACAATTATAGAAGAACAAATCACAGACTTAATATTTAAGATATTTACCACTTATCGAATGTTTTGTTAAGTAAATTACCCAAATGAAATATGCCCAGTACACTGTGTCCTTCAAGACATAAATAATACTTTGGCTTGGTAATAAGGAAAAAGTATTTGTTAAGACTTCTTTTCCGTAGGGATTGAGTACTCAAAATTGTATTCTTACATATCAAACCAGGGTTTAGTTGGCATTTAAAATAATGACAATCCAAGTACACTTAACTAATTTAGTCTGGGGTTTATGTAAAACATTTAGTTTCAGGAACATTGACCTCTCATATACTAACAACCAGATACCATAAATTAGGAGTCATTAGGCAATTCAACAGAAGCATTAGATTCTTAACAAAATTTTTAATTCACAAGTATTTTTAAATTGCTTAAATTCTTCTTTTTTCAATAATTTTATAAATATAAACATGGTTTTTTTTAACAAAGTCATACGCCATTATAAAATATGATCCAATAACTCACCTTAAATGATATTTCATACTGCTCTCCTCCCCATATTTCTAGGCCTGCATCATAGCCTCCAAGTTCCCAGAACCATTTTCTATCAACTGCAAACAGTCCTCCAGCCATAACTGGAGACCTTAAGAGAAAAATTAAACTCCATATTACAAATATTTAAGTAAAGTCTGCCCAAATTACATGCATTTTATTTCTATTTTTTTTACTACCCATTTTGGCTATTTTGCACTTTGATCACAGTGTCATTTACACTACACAGCAATTTCTGAAACACGAGAAAAACTTTGGAGGAAGTCAAAGAAACTATAGGAGTCTGATATTGTTAACAACTTGATGCCAAACAGATGCTAACAAACAGACTGGATGATTCTTGCAAGCCTGTTCAGCAAATGTTTGACAACACCTACAAGAGTCTATGGCAGCATTTTCTACCCAAGGCAGAATGGGTAAAAACTGTGCCTATATGAGGAAGGAAATTTGTTCCTGCTAACTGGGTACTTGTGGAATGGAACCTTTAAGACAGTGGTTCTCAACCTTTTTAATGCTGCGACCCCCAACCGGTCGTAAGTCGAGGACTACTCAACCGGTCGTAAGTCGAGGACTACTCAACTGGTGCAGCACCGTTTGCAGAATGGGACTTTTGGCGGGCTCAGCAGGGCAGAGACAGCCTGGACAATTCCTATTGGCTTTTGAAAGCCAATAGAATTAGACTCTATTCAAGAGAGTCTATTCTATTGGCTTTCAAAAGCCAATAGAATAAAAGGGAGTAGCACAGCTAAGGAAAAGGGGAAAAAAATGGCGGACTGCCTTGTTTGGCGAACCCCATGAAATGGTCGTTCGACCCCAAATGGGGTCCCGACAGGTTGAGAACCACTGCTTTAAGGTTGAGAACCACTGCTTTAAGATATAGAGCTGAAGCCAGAAGATTTAGAAGGAAAGGAAGAATGACATCTTATTTAAAAGCACATATGTAAAAAATATTCTAAAAAACAAATTAAAATGGAGAAAAGAAAAAATTTAGAACAACCCCAAAGAATGAACATGTTATTGATATGACAGTTGAAAATAAACGTAGAAAGACCAGTCACATGGAGTATGTGAAGAAAGGGGAAACGTAATCAAGAATTCTTTAATTCTGTAGAAGTTGTTGAATAAGTTCTGTACAGGTGCACATCTAAGAAACTAGTGTTCAGAACTTTTTCAATAAGAAAATAAAGATCCCTCAGAGTAAATCTATATTATTCTTTTGTATCATCACTCTTTTTGCTTTGTTCTCCTTAACAGCTTCATGCAGAGAAAGGATAATGTTACCAGAAGCTTAAAATGATTTTCTCCACACTTAATTCAAACCAGGCCAAGACTGCTGATCTACAGAGCAGTTCACATAACTTTGAGAGATCCCTCAGAAAACTGGTATTCACTGATGGAAGAGAAGACAATTATGTTTCAGAAAAGCCAAACATGCAGTATAACAGAAACAGCAGAAAACAGAATGGCAAGACCATGCATTCTTAAGCAGAGAAGCAAGCATTGAATCTGTTGCTATTCTCTGAATATAGAAAACTAAGACACCCTTAACTTTCAGAGAATGAAGGACACAATAAATGGAGAAGATAAAATTACTGGAAAAAAGAAAAAAAAATCAATTACAATTACATGTAGTTCAAATTTGTTTTATAGCAAGTATATATGCACATAATATATGAAGAACGTTATATAAACATGTATTATAATATATGTAAACTGTTCGTAGAGAGCCAATTTAATGTAATGGTTAAAGCATGAGGCTAGGAATTGGGAGACTTGAGTTCTAGTCTTGCCTTAGGCACAAAGCTGGCTGCGTGACTTTGGGCTAGTCCACATGTCGGCAACCTGCGGCTCCGGAGCCGCATGCGGCTCTTTGAGCCTTCCCCTGTGGCTCCCAGCCTCCTCTGCCTTTGCAGAGAGAGGCAATTGCACTTCCCTGCTTCTCTCTCTTTCTCTCTCTCTCTCTCTCTGTGTTTGTGTGTGTGTGTGTGTGTGTGTGTGTGTGTAAAAGAGAGTGCACTCACAGTGTTCTCCGAGGAGCTGAAAAGCTTTCTGGGCGGAGCTCCTCCCTTTGCTGCGTCTCTGAAGGAAGCAGGAAGCAGGAAGGGCAGGAGAGAGCTAGCTAGCCCAGCTAGGCTGACTCAGGAATTCTGGGAGTTGAAGTCCATGAGTCATAAAAGAGACAGGTTGCCTACCCTGGAGGTTGTTGGACAACAGCTTGAAGCTTGCCAGGTGAGCAGCAGATAGGAGGGGGGGGAGAAAGAGAGAGAGAGGGAGAGAGAGAGAGTGGGGGAAGAGGAGTGGCAGATCAAGGGCAGATAGAGAGGGAGGGAGAGAGAGAGACCCTTTTGACATCTAAAATGAAGATAACACTGCATATATCCTTTTTTTAACCTTTGTGTGTATGTAATTTTATTCTCTTAAAGCATTCTCTTGGTGATCATTGTTTTAATAGTATGGATATTCCCAAGAGTCATATTTTTACTTTTATTTTGAATGTGTATATGTGTGTGTGTGTGTGTGTACACACACACACACATATACACATACACACATACACATACACACACCTATAATAAAGGTAAAAAAGGATATATATGCAGTGTTATCTTCATTTTAGATATCAAAAGGGTTTTGCGGCTCCCAGTGTTTTGTTTTTGGTGGGAAACGGGTCCAAGTGGCTCTTTGAGTGTTTTGGGTTGCCTACCCCTGGGCTAGTCCCTTTGTCTCAGCCTCAGGAAGGAGGCAATAGCAAACCACTTCTGAAAAACCTCACTAAGGAAACTCCAGGAACTTGTCTAGACATTGTCCAAGAATTGATAGGATTGGAAGAAAAAAAAAAGCTGCTGTTCCCCTCTTAGCATGGAGAATTTGCTGACACAGTAGTTGGAACTGCAACAAGGAATGCAATTTTCAATATAAATATTGGGAAATGAAGTAGATGACAACATAATTAGTGATTAAACAACTGTAGAGGTAAAACTGTAAAGCATTAAAATATTTTATGTTTAACATTATTTTATTACATAAAATAAAACATAATTGTACTTCCAACACTGTATATACAGGAAGTCCTCACTTAATGATGGTTCAAAGTTAGTATGAGCCCCCTCCCCCAAAAGATACTCATAACTCGTCCTTGAAGTTACAACTGCTGCAGCCTTCCCACAGTCACATGATCACATTTTGGTGCTTGGCAACTGGCTTGCATTTATAATCAATTGCAACACCCTGCAGTCGTGTGATTTGTGACTTTTTTGCCAGTTTCTGGCAAGAAACACCCTTGGGAGAATATATTACAATGATCACATGGTTTGCTTAACAACCACATGATTTGCTTAACAACCACTGTGATTCACTTTCTAATCATAATAAAAATGGTTCTAAAATCAAATCAGATCACAGGATGATCCACTTAACGACCACAGTGACTTACTGTATGACAAAACCGCCAGGCTCTGTTATGTTTGTTAAGGAAGGACTATGTTTATAGTCCTATAGGGAATTAAGATCACTGTATTTTAATATTTTGAATAGTACCTGTGTAATCTTGTACTCAGCAAGAAATATCAGACCTTTATTTTTCTAAACTTCCCTCTTACAAGGATACAGACTGTACTGTAAAGATACAACTCAGATCAAGGAAAGTAGAAGAATTGTTGCTGTAAGCATCTGTACCTGAAAATCAGGTAGCATGTAACAATGCCACCTATCACAAATGTACATGTCTTCATGCTTAGTAGAGAGTGTACTTTTCACCTCAATAATTGAGGGAATACTAACAGACAATGGAAATAATGTTTTTAGACACATAGATCATTTCTGATACAAGACTTTTGTGCCAACTGTATAGAAACAAAGAGAAACCTATTTGAAATAGATGATTTTGATAACTGGAAGGGATGTTATTTCAAAGAACAGTAGTCTATGATATAATTACATGAATTAGTTTGGCCATTTGTGATTGACCTTCATTATTTATCTTTGTTGATTTCCTTTCCTTTCTTTCTTTTTTAGAGGAGAGAGAAGAAAGAACATCTAGCAATTATATCTGCCTGAAAACCTACAACCTCTTAGCTTGTTAAGCTAAGTATTCACTTTGTCTCATGAACTTACTCAAAAGGGTCACTGGGATCAGGTTTCTGTAATTCAGATGGAATTGGGATTCGCTTATAATACATCTCCCAGTCAAATGCTCCTCGCATTGCATCTCCAGCTTGTGTTTCATAGCCAAAATGGTCATGATCAATGACATCAATCATTGGACAAACAATAGTTTTGTGATTTCGAGCAATGCGGTCTGGGGAATTAAAAAAAAGTTGTATTTTATATTTTCATTTGTAACAATATAATACACTTACAGTAGAACATAAAAAAGAATCTTAGAAAAAATACAAGTAGTCCTGTATGGTGCTACTTGGGACTGGAATTTCTATCACTAAGCAATGTGGTTGTAAAGTCGAACATCACGTGATTACATTGCTTAGTGCAACATTCCTGTCAGTTCCCATTGCTGTCATTAAGTGAGGTTCATGGACTGTTAACTGAGAATGTGGGTGCCTAGCAACCCATTCACACTTAGCACCAGTTGCCAAGCACCCTCAATCACAAGATCACCATTTACAACCTTCTCTGCTGGCTTTCCCAGAAAATAAATGGGGAGGCTAGCAGAACAGGTTGCAAGTTACTGCAGTGTCCCCCACCTATGCACCCTTCCTCACCTCCTCTGTGTTTCAATTGGATATTCACTGACCCTGTGCACCCTTCAACCCTCACCGTATCTCTTTTGCAAACTTGCACACCCATCCATCCAGTGTTTGTCATGCATCCTCTTGTACCCTCATACATCCGTGATCCATCTGGTGCAGAGATCCCCAACCTGTGGGCTGCAACCCACTACCGGGCTGTAGCCTGCTGGCCAGCGGGCCGTGAAATAGGCTGGCCAGGGTGCGCACGTGTGTGTGGGCACTTATCCCATGCGATAGCGCCGCTGCTGCAGTGAAAACAGGGACTACATAGCAAAAATAGGGCAGTGCTAGCAAGTGTCACACGGGCGCTAGCACCCCATTTGCGACGTGTGTGCTCGCAGCCCTGTTTGTGTGTGTGCGCATGTGTGTGTGCGTAAAATGCTTCCCCCTGCCTTTTCCTCCAGTCCGCCAATCAAGAAAGGTTGGAGACTTCTGATCTGGTGCCTCTTGCACATTCCCTTGCACTCACTCATTCATATTCTGATCCCCTCCCATGTGGACTACTATAATGCGCTTTACATGGGGCTACTCTTGAAGAGTATTTGAAAGCTTCAGTTGTTGCAAAATGCCATAGAATGAGCAGTTATGTATGCAACTAGACTTACGCAACCTACACCTCTGCTCTATGAGCTGAATTGATTATCAATTTGTTTCCCAATCCAATTCAAGGTGCTTTATAAGCTTTATAGCTTACAATGTAATGTAAGTTAATATTGTATTGCAATATATTAATATATATAATGACATAACTTAGATATTAACTTTGTAACCTACATGCCATGGGGCCAAATTATTTAATTGTCTCTCCCCAGTGACATCAGGTCCAGTAGAAGAAGATTGTTGTGGGTTTCATCTACTAAAACAGTGTTTCTCAACCTTGACAATTTTAAGGCATGTGGACTTCAACTCCCAGAATTCCACAGCCAGCATTGCTGGCTGTGGAATTCTGGGAGTTGAAGTCCACATGCCTTAAAATTGTCAAGGTTGAAAAACACTGTACTAAAAAGTCTCATCTGTCGGGACCCTGGAGGAGGAACATTTCTGCTGCACCTGCCTTAAAAAATATCATTCCCCTGAGGTCAGGTTGGCCCTGTTCTGGGTGGCCTTCAGGAAGGGTCTGATGATTTGGCTTTGCCATCTGGTCTGGGGATTAGTGAGAGGTGTGGAACCCATAATAAGGCTGTATTGTTCCTCTCTCCTGGTGATTGTGCTTTATGGATTCGAATCATTTAACTGTTTTAATGTTTGCATTGTTTGTAAGGCTGTTTTATTTTTTGATTTTGGCTATATACTGTAAATCAAATAAAAATTTGTGAAAATGAGATGTGATTGAAGAACAGCCTTCAAATGAGAGCAAAATAAATAATTGATTATCCTGGTATTCCCCATCCCCTGAACTGGAAAAAAAACATAGTAATTTGAATGCTAGCATACTAACATGTATGTGGATATTCTAATGTTAATTCAATGAAATCTTACTCTGCTATCCGAAGGCTTGGATAGTGTCACTCTTGTTGTTCAGAAAGGCACTGCATTTGCAGTTGATCATTCAGAAACACATTTCAAATAGGATTCTTACCTAGGAGAGGTGGCAACCAGTTCACATTTGCTTCACAGTGGGAATCTAAGAAGGTAATAACATCTCCTATTGCTACAGAAGCTCCGAGCATTCGAGTCCTTATTAGCCCTTCTCTCTTCTTAGTTCGAAGAATCCTAACTTTTGGAAACTGGGCCATATAATCCTCCAAGCGCTTTCTGAGATGCTCTGCATGGAACAAAATGAAGATAAAAGATACATTAAAAATGAACTATGAAGTTTAAAAAGGGGGCTCTACCTCAGCTTTAGATAAAGCAACAAAATAAAGCGGAGTAAATGCAGGTAGTCTTCAACTTACTGAGCCAGGCAAGTCATGGCAGTCGAAAAAATGGATCTTGTGTCTAATCCAATTTTATGACTTTTTGCAGTGTTTATTAAGCAAACACCATGGCCATTAAGCTATTATTCACTATGGAGTGCTTCTACAGGGTGACAGGAATTAAACATTGATTTGGGCAAAAATGCAGTAAATCACGGTCATATGATTGTGGGATACTGTAAATGGTTATAAACATAGGCTATTTGCTGAGGGCCCAAAACACAGTTACATGACTATGGGGGAGTCCAGCCATTGGAACTGGGTTGTAAGTACCTTTAGGGAGCTCTGTTGTAACTACAAACAGTCACTAAGCAACTGGTCATAAGTTGAGGTCTACCTGTAATTAAATAATCTTTTTTAAGGGTAAGGCTTATGTCATTAAGCATATTGTCATTTAAAAGGATATTAGGAAGCATAAAGGCAGAAATGATCCTATAACAATGTGTATTTGTACTTCCAAAATTGTTCATTAAAGTTTTTCACCAAACATTCCTAAATAATTTCAGCAGCAATTGAGTAAGAGAGCAAACATTTTCTGTTCTGAAAGTAGGCTATAAAACAAGAAAGAAGTGACATAAATTTCAAACTGAGGATACTCTCAAAGTAGGGTTGTGTTGGGACAAGGACTATTTACTTTGTTCATAAATAATATGGACAAGAAACATTTGATGCCAAATTGTTTAGGTTAATAAAATCAAAAAGAGAGTTCAAAGAGTTGCAAAAGAGTCTTTCCAAAATGGATCAAAAGTTAATTATTTATTTGTAAAATATATACTGTACTTATCTATTCCTTTAACAGCTCTGGGAGTCTTAGAGATTATCATATAAATAGCCATTAAAAATGTACATGTGTTTTGTAACTACCCTAGGTGTAAGCTGTGCATAGTTCGGTGCAAGCAAATGCAAAGTGATGCAAAGTGTCACAGAAAACACATGCTTCAGATATGTTAATGGGATCTGACAATTCAGATGAACTAAAATCATCTATTCCACTCAATGCCATCAGTAGTTTTGTTACTAGAAGTGTGAATTCTCTGGATTTAACTTACTCTAACATCAAGAAAGCATTTAAGGCTACCCTTTGCCCTCATTTTGGCTCCTCAGATCATCTCTGTGATGCTTATGCCAGCATATAAGTCTTTGTTAATTAGAGGGAGACCAACTAGAAAGCAGGTGAGAGTGTGGCTGGCAGGAACTATGGAAGCTCAACACTTTTGGGTGCACAAATTGGAACATATTTTAAGAGGCTACAATGAATGGGCAGCATAGTGATGTGAACGAGTATGCTTCTACTGTGTCTGCTTATACAGTATTTAAAAGTGCATGGAGGATGTCAGTGTTCTTAAGACTATTGTTATGCGGGCAAATGAGAAACCTTGGGTGTCTCAGGAGATCTGTGCGATATTGAAGGTGAGAAATGCCTCTTTTAAATCAGGCAATGTGGCAGCACTTACCATAGCAAGAGCTGATTTGAGGCACGCTATAAAAACAGCAAAGCGGGCCCACAGACAGAAGGTACAAAATTTTTTTCAAGTTCCTATGGACCCTAGACGGATGTGGCAAGGTATTCAGGTTATTACTGACTATAAGGCACCTTCCCTGACATGTAAAGTTGATGTGGATTTTCTAAATAAGCTAAATATGTTTTTGGGACTGTTTGAGGCCGCAAACAACATTCCGGCAAGGCAGGCTGTTCCCCTTCCTGATGAACAGGTGTTCAGTTTTGATACAACTGCTGTTTGGAAGGTCCTGCGAAAAGTGAACACTCGAAGGGCTGCGGGTCTTCATAATATCCCTGGGTGAGTACTTAAGGAGTGTGCTGACCAATTGGCTGTTCTTATAAACATCTTCAATCTTTCATTGCATCAGGCTGTGGTTCCATCATGTTTTAAGACTGCAATCATTGTACCAGTGCCCAAAAAATCTATACTCACATGCCTTAAAGATTACCATCCAGTTGCACTCATTTCCATTATGATGAAGTATTTTGAGAGCTTGGTAAAAGACTATATTGTTTCATGCCTTCCCTCTACATTTGATTCATTATTATTTGCCTATCGGAAGAACTGCTCTTTAGATGATGCATTTTCCTGTGTGCTTCATCTTAGCTTGGCGCACCTGGAGGAGGAGAATACTCATGTGCGAATGCTGTTTGTTAATTTTAGTTCAGCATTCAACATAATCATTCCTCAGCATTTAGTGGACAAACTGGGTCTATAAGGTTTTAACACTCCTTTATATAACTAGATATTTGATTTCCTTATTGATAGGCCCCAGGTTGTGCAAGATGGAAGAAAAGTTTTCAACTCCATCTCCTTGAGTATGGGTTCCCCACGGGGCCGGGTCTTGAGTCTGTTACTGTTCATCTTGATGATCCATGACTGCTGTGCCAAGTCTGCTACGAATCATAATGTGAAGTATGTGGATGACACGGCAGTGGTAGGTCTTATCCGGGATGACAATGAAGATGTTTATAGGGAAGAGGACTGGTGTAATAAAAGTAACCTGAATATTAATAAAACAAAGGAGATCATTATAGATTTTAGAAAGAATTGGCATAGCCATACTCCACTTTGCATCAAGGCTGCAGCTTTGGAGGTGGTCAACAGTATTAAGTATCTGGGTGTTCAGATAACTAACAATCTGATTTGGTCTCTCCACACGTCATCCTTAGTGAAGCATGCAAACCAGCCTCTGCATTTCCTGTGTCGGATAAAGACAGCACATCTTTCTCCTTCTCTCCTGGCCACTTTTTACAGAGGCATGATTGAGAGCATCTTAATAAACTGCATCACTGTTTGGTTTGGTGGTAGCAGTGCATACAGAGAGTGATAAGACAGCTGAGAAGTTATAGGAAGCCTGCTTCCCGTTATTCAGGACACTGCCTGTAAGTGCTACATACTTAGAGACCCCACACACCCACTTCACAGTCTTCTTCTGTTGCTTCCCTCTGAGAGGAGGTTTCGAAGTATTTCTAGCAGGACTACTAGATTCTGCAACAGCTTTGTTCCTTATGCCATCCGCCTTGTAAATTTGCAGGATTTTTTTTTCTCGCCATGTATATGTAAATATCTGAACTAGACTGTGTTGTTTCTTTGGGTCATATATGTGTGTGTATATGGGTATATGCATAATTTTTTTGCCATGGTTATGCAGTGTGTATTGGAGGAAGTTACTCTTTGAAAGCTGTATGCAATGAAATCTCATTTTAATGTATGCTTATTTGTGTATATTTAAAATGACAATAAAGTTATTCTATTCTGTTCTATTCTATTCTATTCTAATGTTAGTGATTGAGCAAGAAAGGGATTTTTGAATCTTGATGGATAGTTCAATGGAAATGTCACTTCACTTCACAGTAACTGTAAAGTTAGAAATTCTAAGCTTAAAATCATTATGAAAGGAACAGGAAATAAAAAGCCAATTTAGTTTTGCCTCTATGTCAATCATACTGTATATTCCATAGCATGTGGAATACTGTGTATAGTTCTGATCACCATATCTCAAAAAGATTACTGGGAAAGGTTTAGAAAATATAACCAAAATAGTTAGAGAACTAAAGCAGCTAGCTATAAGAAAAGACCACAGTGATTAGGGTTTTTTAATTCAGAGTAGAGGTCAGTAAAGGGAGTCAAATGTATATTAAAATAGGCATTGTATGGATAATTGGAATAGGGAATTTTGTTCTTCTCTTACAAAGTTAAAAGTTGGGATTATTTATTAAAACTAAATGGGAGAAATTTAGGAATACTAAAAAGAGGTTCCTTTTATACATATACCCACAAATGATACAGAATTAATCTTTGGAATATGATACTATCAAATTAGAAAGGGAACTGAATAAATTCATGGAGAATTGGGCTATCAATGGCAACTGGTCTCAATAGCGGTTTGCTATTTCTTTACTCATGATGATCTACCTTGAATATGAGCTACTACTGAGTAATAGAGAAAAAGGAGTATAATTCTTCTGTCCATATTTGTCAACATCCTGCCTGCCGCATGGGCTAGAAGTGTGCTTATTCTGATCCAACAAGATTCTTTAATGATACTAGTCAAAATTAGAAAAACCATTTACTATGTTAAATTGCAATATATAATTCAATAACACACATCTGCCTGCTAAAACAAACATATAATTATCTAATCAGAAATTTTGATTCTGCATGGTTCATCTGTCTTACCTAATTCTGCAACTCTTTTTTTAAAAAGTTTAATTCAAGAAAAAAATGTTTTCCTTAACATTAAAAATGAATAAGTGTGACATATAAAATACATTAATATTTTTTAAAAAAACAACAGAGGAAGTACTTAGAAGCCCAACATTAAAATGTATTTTGTGTATTGTATGTGCAAAATAATCCAATATTTTGGTCGAGTCATGAATGTATAAGCAAATACATTATACATTGGATGTACCTCTATCACTGAAATCATCCACCAGCACAATCTCAGCTATCAGTTCAGGAGGAGAACGATTGAGAACACTATGTACTGTTCGAAGAAGTGAGGACCATCCTTCATTGTGGAATGGGATTATTATACTGGTGTTGGGAAGTTGTTCCAGATATAGCTTGCTATTGCAGCTTAAAAATGAAGAGAATTACCATCTTGATCAGTATTTATAAATATTACCACTGCTCCAGCACCTAAAGAAATCACTTCTATTATCTCATGTAAATATTAAACATTCAGTTAACTAACAACATATTATTTCAATTTATAAAGAACAATTGATAACTGTGGGAATTGGTTACATTACACAATACCTTATTATTAAATTTCACCCAACAGCAGCAATGTGCAAAATTTTTCATATCTGAAACATCCCATACTGACTGCAAATTGCTCCATCTGAAATATGGAACAGGCTGTTTTGAATATTCTGAGACTGTTTTTATCTTGAAAGAGTGTTTCAAGAAAAACCTGTTTGTTTCGCAAGTGTTTAAAGTACAAATAGGTGTGTTTCAAACATGGAACTATTTAAATTAAAAATTTTTTTGGCATAACCCAAGTAGTCATGCTATTAGATATGATATTTAATGCATCAGCTGAAACTCACTTTGACAACAAAAAAATATTAGTTTTAGCTGGAATGGCATTTAAGAGAAAATGCAGGAAAATAAATTATAGAAACAAGAAAACTCATACTTTCAACCATAAGAAAATTCTATACTTACTTTGGATGTCGTATATCTGGTAGAGAACGGTTTAAAGAAATTTTATCACTCACAAAAATATTAAAACCATTTTCCCTATATGCCTGGTCCACTTGCTCAGTATCAGTCATAGGATATGGTTTTCCTTGTTCTCCATTTCCTGCAGAGAGAAGAAAGGCAAGGAGTAATCTTAAAACATTCCACATCTAACAGAGCAATAATTTCATCCATGCTCAAAATTCAAAAAGCTGTTGAATTTTTCTCATTCGTCACAGTCTAGTCCAGTGGTTCTCAACCTTTCTAATGCCGCGACCCCATAATACAGTTCCCCATGTTGTGGTGACCCCCAACCACTTATACATCACCGGGTGCCAGGGGCGTGGCGAAAGAAAAGGGGGAAAAAATGGCGGACAACCTTGTTTGGCGACCCCCATGAAATGGTCGTTCGACCCCAAATGGGGTCCCGACCCACAGGTTGAGAACCACTGGTCTAGTCCTATATTCTAGGACTGCAGCTGAGATTTCTTAATAATACACCCCAAATTGTTAAACTCCCCATTTAAGAAACAGATTATACAGTTTATGAATATTGGATAATGCTAAAAAGAGACATTTTGGTAATTTTCTCCTTTTGAAAAAGGCCATAATAGACTTATCAGATTTTTATCTTGATGAATCAACATATCTTATATTTTGCAATTTAAATTTATACCGCTGCCCAACTCACACTGATTCTGGGTGGTAATAAACCAGTTCAAAAAATGGCTATAGCTAGACAAAAAGACACACCACAAACATAACAAATATAATCCTATTCAGATGGATGCACCACTCCACCCTCATTTAGAACCTAGGGAAAAAGTCGGATTTTCAAGGCAAGTTTAAAAGATAGCAGTGTCCTTTTCCTGCTACTCTGTCCACTGTGCCTGCATTTCCATTGAACTAGTTAGACATGGGTTGGCACAAACAAAAGCAGATATCAAAATGGCTTCCTAGCGGCCCATGCCATGCTTTTTGCTATTGTTTACAAAACTTGAAAACAATGAGAACATTTTTCCTGTCTTTTGGAACAAGCAAGGCTCTGTGGGGGTTTTGTCCAGTACTTTTTTTGTAAAAAAAAAAAAAAAGGTGCCGGAACTCACACACATCATATAACCTGCCTTGCCTACCCTACAAGGTTCCATCCAAAAAAGGTGCCAGAACTCCATTCTGGGCGTTCTATGACAAAAAAAGCCCCGGTTTTGTCTATGATCAGTGAAAAAGGCATTAGGAATTGAGGGAAGTTTTGTTCAATTTCTGTTCTGGGCTACTAACTTGCTAATGACTTGCTGATTTTTTAAAAAAGTGTTAACAATGGTAATTTCTTTTGAGTTACATGAACATATCCACTAGTACATTGCATTTAGTACTATTTTGCTTTTATGAGTTAAGACTGAGTGAGTTATACAGACCTGTTCTCTGCAAATCATTCTTTATAGCTTTTCTGTCATGCCAGTCTTTTTTTCTTTGTTGGTTACCAAGGTAAGCTTCATTCCTTTGTCTTGCATGGAAGCCCTTTAAAAAATATGATTGCTGTTATACTTTTGTAAACACACTCAAAATCCATACTGAATATCTGATAAGCCACTTTTCTAAGTTATATTTTATGTTTTATGAAATTTATATTTGTAATATTTTATTTGATATTTTGTATAAGAAATCCAAAATAAAAATTGAGTTTATTTGTTGGGTTCCAAATTTTAAACCATACCTCTATTAATTCACTAGGTACTGTTAATGAAGATATTATTTCATATACCAGCCTCTATAGCTACACTATGAAAATATTCCTGTTTCCTTTTTTTGCTTTGAAAGTGTTTTCATTACAGCAAAACAATTAACACACAACCATTTTTCAGATATGCTCATAACTCAATACACCAAGCCTAATGGAACAGACTCTATACATAGAGAATTGATTCCTCATAAAATATATTCTTTTTAGGCAACTTAAAAAAGTGATTTAACACTTAGGCACTACATAAATCAGTAAAAGTACTATTTACTTGGATTATTATCTTAGTTGATGAGGATTTGTAAAAAATCAAAAGCTTACAGACTATATTGTAAAATTGTTATCTTAACATGAAATTTTGAGCACCTTATTAAACAAATGATTTTTGAAATCCTAAAAAGTCTACTTGCTTGTGAAATCTTCAGAGCATCCTTTCTCCTATATATTCTTTCATGCAGAGATGGATACTCTTCTAGGCTTATCACAGGGCATTCACAGAGAACAGGGGAAAAGAATTATAGTCATAACTCTTGGTTTCTTGGAGAGGGCATAATCTCTGTAACTTTGGTATCCTGTTTCTATATAAAGACTTTTCAGATTTACTGAAATTCTTGTTATCTGCTTGGGAAAATGATCTCAGCAGCACCAACTCACAGAAGGGTCAATTCATCTTATAGTCCATGCTGCATCCCCAACCATTTTTGCTGTTGTTGCCATAAATAAGAGTCATAAAATGCAGCAGAAACACATTTACAGCCTGCAATATTTCTTCTTCTCAAAAGAAAGAAGGGAATATGAGAAATAAAAAAGAGGAGAGCCACAGTAAAGCTGCTCCATGCCTAGAATGTCCATCTCCATTCCCTTCTACTCCTCTGATACTTTGCTTACATAAAGGGCTGGGAGAGAGATGGGTACATATGTGTCTTGGCTCCCTTTGAAAATAACAACAATAACAATATGGATAAAAATATTAAATCCATCCTAAACATTTGGCTATGTGACCACCATAATAATTTATTAAATTTATAAACGCAAAATCTTTGAAAGCAGACAAATTAATAGGTTTAGAACAGGGGTAGGCAACCTTGGTTTTTTTATGACTCATGGACTTCAACTCACAGAATTCCTGAGCCAGCATAGGTAGGCCAGAGTCAAGGTTGCCTACCCCTGCTTCAGAAGATATCCAGTTGGAAAAAAAATCAGAATGTTTCCATTTAACAGTTATTTAATTAAGAATGTGCTGACCTTATACAAAGGATTATATATAATCCAATTTCTTTCTTTTTTCAACAAGTACAATGTGCATAAATAAAGGTTACACTATTATTGTTTTTGAGCCAAGAACCTACAGGTATGCAGGGTATCAAACCTCTAACAATCCTAGGAAGGAAAAGCACCCTTATTTAATATTTGTTGCCTCTAACCCTTTCCTCAGAAAACATAAGCCAGAGATAAAAAATATACATTTTAAAAAACCTGGATGTTATATTTATGAATGTAGGTGTAAGGATGATATTTTTTTAAATGGTAAAACATGGATAATGTTGGCATATACTGTCTTATTTACTGTTATAAATACTAAGGATGAAATAGAAAAAAAGAGATGGGCTAATTAGATGTGTACCAATTTATGTTGGAAATAAAGATTAAATTTCTATTCCAGAAAATGTTTTTAATGGTTTCCTTAGAAAGCCAAATAATTTCCTTCAATTTTTATTTTCATAATCAGTTTGTTAAAAAAAATCAGATGAATATAATTATTCAGACTGCTAGAGAAATGCTTTTTAAACTTCATCCCACAGAACACATTTGCAATTTAAGAATCTGAAGGTATTTTGCAAGTATTTTTAAGGAACTAGTTTTAATGTTTTTTTCCTTCAACATGATTTTGCCATTTTGTTGTCACTATAGTCAAGATTAAATACAAATATAAAGTTGATTTAAAACTTTATTAACAAATTTTAGTCCAGGCATGACTGAGATATGTTCCAATGTGCAAATACATAATTCCATTAAAATTTAGAATCAATGTCTTAGCTATAAAAATAATTTTACTAAAATATCCTTTACTGTTATTAATAAGGTATGTTTTATTTCAATAATTTCATTTATTTAATATAAACAGTGACAGATGTACGTCATTACCAAAAACATACTTGTCTTCTATGGCCTTCAGTTAAGACATATTGTGATACACTAAGTTTGTTGCCTCACAAAAAGAATCTGACGTGCCCACAGAGATTTGGCAAGTTTATCTGCACCCAAACCACCCTGGTTTCTCACTGATTATCTAAACTCACACAGAATTTGCTTTTCCTGCCTTTCTGGATCCCCCCCCCCCAAAAAAAATCTTCAGCTCCTCTGTATCCGATGGATTCTTTTTCCAGCTATTTCTTGTGTTCTATTTTCTCCCAAAGCCCTTCTCAGTTAACTGATAGTACATCCTTGGGAATCAGATGCTTAATTGTCTTTCAGAGCAATTATATCAGATTATTATTACTGGTAGTATTAAAGGCCAGTGCCCATACAGATTTCAGCTGCTTGGCATCTTGTTGAATTGGCTCAGAACTTCAGGATTCTAATATTTGGAATGACTTCATAAGTCTGAGTGTGAAGCCCTGCATCTGGTGCACTCTTCAACACTGTTGCTCTTCTGGTAATTATACCTCTCAAAGAAAGCTGACTCCACTGTAATATCAATATTAACAGTATAATTATTTAAAATAGTATGAAATCCCCACACAGAACAAGTATGCATGTAGTTTCTTGAGATCCTTAAGAGCCTACATTGATTTCAAAATCAATATAGATAAGTCCTCTTTGTTTGTCAGATGTTGGTTAAATCAAGTAGGATGACTTTTTCATTATTTGATGTACATCACACTTTTTATGCACGGTTTTAATAGAAGATAATTCTATATTATAAAGAATTTAAAGTGTTATGCAGCTTCAAAAATAACTGGAAAAAAATTAACTTACGAGGAAAATGGGTTTTGGAGACAGAGAAACAAATGAAAGCAGCAACATTTTAGAACATCTCAAAAAAATAAGAGGAATCGGATAAGAGTCCAAATTTATTATCTCTTGCTTCAATATGAAATATCTAACTTTATGAAGGAGAACATTCAAAGTAATTTTACCAATGGATGGATAATAATTCATACAGATTGCAAGTTTTATTTATTAATAAAACAAAATTGAAGTCCTTCAAAATTCTCTTCAGAATATTCAGAGTTTCATCATTGGTTTCAATATCTACTGATCAGTTTATATGTTCCTAAATCAATTACAAAAGCATGGTAAAACACTAAGAGGTTTGACTGAATTTTTAAAAAAACTAATCACATAAAACTCAGATAATTTATTGGGATTTATCTATATGGCTGATGAGGGATGATTCAGAAAATGAATAAACTACTGTATAATACAGAAACTGAATACACTACTAATATGCTACAATAGGAATATTAATGGAAGAAAAATATCAATTTTACCATTAGTATTAGAGAAAATTAGTATAAGATGTTCTGCTGATTGTGTATTATTCTAGTACTGATTGCTAAAATAGACAATTCGTTTTCTTAAAACTACTGGAAATGCAATATTGTAGCCAGATTGGACTATTCTTTCCTATTTGGTGGCCTCAATGTAAGTCACAACAATTCTGGAAAATGATTTATAACACAACAAAAACAGATTTGAAATATGGATTTTTCTTTTTAGCTCATCATGCTTTTATTAATTTTTTATAAAACCTTATAGTCCTATAAAATATACTGTTTTTATATATAGTAACAGCTACTGTAATATTCAATGTTTCTTATCAGTAAGCAAGCACAATTCCTTCCATAGAAAAACAGTCAATTAAGTTATAGAAGTATGCAGGAATATCAAAATAAGCTACTTACTTAAAAACACTTTTAGTGTAGTAGTTAATGCCAACTTACTTTGGAGTATTATCTTATAAACAATTTCATACTATATCCAAAGTATGAATTTAGCTGCTCTAAATGTAAGATTATAACACTCCACAAGTGTGATAACTTGTGTGCTATTAGGTCATCATTTCCGAGATATTTTCTTGCCTAAACAGAGTGATTATGGGTGGGCAAAAAAGCAGCAGGAATAGGAATGATTTCCAACTTCCTGTCGTCTCCCTCACTGATTTCCTTGTAGGAAGCTGGCAGGGAGTATCAGAAATCACGCTTCATATGACCGCAGCTGACAGTGGCAATATAGTAATGCAGGCAACCTAATGAGAAGGAAGGACTCACTGGAGAAGGGCCTAATGCTGGGAAAGATTGAGGGCAATAGAAGAAGGGGACGACAGAGAATGAGATGGCTGGATGGAGTCACTGAAGCAGTAGGTGTGAACTTAAATGGACTCCAGAAGATGGTAGAGGACAGGAAGACCTGGAGGAATGTTGTCCATGGGGTCGCGATGGGTCGGACACGACCGCAATTAACAACAACAACAAAGCAATACTGAAATAGCCATAACTTGTCAAATTTCAATCCCACTGGATTGAAGTCATGGATTCTGGATTTTAAAAGCAATTTGAGACACCTTGGTTCAAAGATTGCTGCACTGAAGATTACACTCAATCAAAAAGACAAAAGAGTTTTAGTAGATGATAGCTAATACAAAATATAAAGATGGCTATTTTGTATGATATTGTCCATTTATATGTAAAAAAAAATCTGTTTGGTAAAAGCCCACTAAATTTATTAGGATTGTTCCTTCATAAATCTGTTCTAGACTATCACCAACTCTTTCTTC